AAAGCAGTTCAACTTCAAATATAATACAAGTATAATTTAACTTGTATTATATTTGAAGCCGAGTTGCTTTTTCAGTAGTTGTATAATTAAAAAAAAAAAAAAAAATTTTAGTTAAAAATAGTATACAAAAAAACTTGGTACACACTTAATGAGAGAGGAAAAAATAAAAAGTATAATTTAACTTTTTATTTTTTCCTCTTTCATTAAGTGTGTACCAAGTTTTATTGTATACTATTTTTAACTAATAATAATAATATATATCATTGATTAATATATTGTTAATAATAATAAGTATTATTTACTAAAGTAAATTAATCCTATGACAGTTTGCAAGTTTTTCAAACTACGGAACTAGTTTTTGTTACAGGTAATGCGAAGTACGAACATAGGTAAGTACCGTTACTACAACACGTTATTAATATTATGTGAACAAGTACCTATATAATTATTGATACGTAATACGCATGTGTGTGCCTATTAATGTATTATTCGCGGAACACACCGTCCTCCTCCCGACTCATCGTTAAACGGCTCTTTTCTACGATTTGCATAGCGCGTTAACTACTATACGGTCTCCGGATATAATTTAAAATAGTATAATTGGTAGACAATATAATTATGGTAACAATAATCTTGTTGTTGTATCACGTATAGTATTATCGTGAGTATGGCGCACACAGTGTCACAATAATATATATATATATATATATGTACTAGCGGACTCGACAAACGTTGTCCTGTTCAAAAACAAAAACCTTTTAACCTGTTACGCGGGAGTGAAAAACATTTTCTATCGAACACAATTATGAATTTAAACCATTCTCGAATTAACCGCACACACAAAATTTCATAAAAATCAGTCCAGCTGTTTAGGAGGAGTTCAGTGACATACACATGGACAGAAGAAATAGTTTTATGACATCTACATACTGTTATTTATAGGTATATAATAATACTAATACAGTATGTATATATACGCAAAGCAGCTAAAAGTATCATTATATTATTATCACAAAATATATTTTAACGAATATAGGCCGGCTGAGTTAATTTATGCATATATACTTAACTTTTTTATAAATTGCAAGTATAAGTAATTAAGTTATACAATTCGTTTATAATGCGTTTGGCATAAGTTTATTTATTTATTTTTCTATACGAAAAATACGAAACGTATTATATAAGCGGCTGTGTAATATTATGTAGTTTCCTGCACGGCTGCACAGAGAATACTACAGAAACGTAAATCTCCATATAAAAATACAAATTATAATTATTTCCTAGTTTTTGTGTTATAGTTCTAATACAAATCTGTTGTTCATATACAAATGTTATTCTAAATGCTAAATTTTTTAAATTTTTGTCACAGCATTAGCTTATAATTCCTCAAGCTCTAATTGTTTGTTTTCTTGCTATGCATTTTTTGATTATTTCTGTACCAATAACATTTGCTAAGTTCTATTTAAATATTAAATGTTGTATATCCAAACTCTATTTATTTTAATTTTTCTTATTTATGAACGAAAATAATAAGAATTAATAAATTAAATAAATAATATGTATTTTTGAGGCCAATAGGAAGAGTTCGGACACCATACGCAATGAATCTTTTAAACAATTTTCTCTGGGAGATAAAAAAAATATCCTCGCATATAATCAAAATCGATAAAATCAACATCAACAAAGTATGAAAAACCTATAAAAAAAAAAATCAGTGTTAGAAACTCTAATACCATCCAAACTCGTAATGGTATATATCAGTGGTTCCCAAAATTTTACAAACACGGAACCCTTAAAAAATAGTTAATAGTGTTTTGCGGAACCCTAATGTCTTTAATTCCAATTCTTCTCTCATTCTTCTAAAAAAAAAAAAAAAAACCAATACTCTAAAAAATGTTTTTGATGATACTGATACTTTAATTAATATTGTTAATGATTACTCTTTATTAAAATTAGTTTAAAACACAATTTTTTTTAAATAATACAAAATAAGTTTCTCAATTATTATATACATCTGGCGGAACCCTTAGCATTGTCCCACGGAACCCTAAGGAAAACGTCGGTAGATATAATACAATATCATATGGTTTTTATCGGTTTTCCATTATAGATATTCTGATAATCAACATAATTAATATTTCAACTTCAAATCGCCAAACAAAATGATTAACAAATAACAAAATCAAACATAATAAATGACTACTAAATACAATTATAAAATAATTACAAATATCTTAATTATTGCTAAAACATCGTTGTCGCCCAGTAATTAAATATATCATTTTTTAAGCGCCAAAAAATATTTACTGGACAACAATTATGTCACCCAGTATATTAGTCAAAATATGCACTGCAATGACGAATTAATTTAAGTGGAGGCCCGAAGAGTAGCACACTTTCGACTGTTGTACGTATTGTACAGCTTAAACTTTTCAAATTGTTCCCTCCGCCCCGTCTAACACCAGGAGAGGTTCACCACTGTGTCGAATCGATTCAGCTGAAAAATTACAGATTTTGCGACACACTCCGTAACCACGCCGAGTTAACTGCGGTAGCTGTAATAATAATGCGAGTATAATTCCGTGTCGACGCATGTCCTGTAGTAAACAACGATTGTTAACATTTTTTTTTTTTCGTGCTTTGACATATTCCGCACATGGCGTAATATTAAAGTAAGTGCAGTTTCGATTACAAATCATTTTCCCACATCATTTTCGCAATAATATACATTCCGCCATATGAGAACGAAATTTATATCGATTCGATGTAAACATCTGAAACCAAAATGTTTCATGCATAGAACTGAGCAAGAACTACGCCACTGGTGCCATTGTGTGGTACTTTTCATGGTGATGGGGTTTCGCCCCAAAGGGAATTATAGTCTAAGCCTAACCTAGTTTTTTTTACAAGTCTTGAAACTGTTGTGGATGGGATTATGCTTTGTATGTGAACCTAAAACCTCGCTGGACGAGTATATCACATATTTCACATATAAATGAAATTCGTCACCTTTCGTCAAGTTTTTTGAAAATTTTTCATAAAATATTAAATTATAGTAAATAAATTATTATAAATGCATTACGTTAAAAATAATTATCATAGTATATTTATAATGTTTTCGATAGAAATTTGGCAACGTTTCTTCCAATTCCATGTGTAGTCGTACGCTTTTCAAAGGTCAAAGTCATATCTATTGTTATTCCGGCACTACGCGCAATCGTACTCTGCCGTTACACGCTAGTCGCTACAAAATAAATATAAAATTATATTATTTTATTTTTCATAATTTTATAATACTCTATTTAGTAGATGTAATGAACTTCGAAAAATAATCGAAAGCCCAATATATTATATTGTACGCAATACAAACCTATTTTTTGGAATACTGGCTGGATTAATATTTTATTTTGTTTTAATAAAAATGAATTTTAAAATAAAAATACTTGCAAATACATATTTCTCTAATAAACAAATAAATAATAGTTTGAAATTTTCAAACCGATGAGAATATTTTTTCAGCGAAAAGGGCGTCTACAATCAATACTCAAAAGCCTCAGGCGCTAGAAGAGCATCGTACAGATTAGGTGAAATGGGCCAAAAGCTTTATAAAATACGTATTTATAATTCGATGATATGCCAACTTTGGAACAGCTAAACTCTAGATTGTGGGAAATCCTCGAGTTGACTCCATCCTCCCCGTATGACGCTACTGGCCATACTGTCCCTTCCGTTACGAGATACAAACGAAAAATATCTTTACATTATTTATGTATATTAGAAAATATGGTATACGAGTAATAGAGCGTCTAATAAATACATTTTGGCTTAACGAAAAACATTTCTAGTACCGCGTAACAACCCCGGGCCTCGTAAAACCACCCACCGGTGTTGAACGGGAGACGGGAGTGATAAACGAATTCGCTCAACCGAACGGCGAACGCAGAAGGACTGTGAAGTTAGCATTAAAATGTTAGCAGAATTTTTTAAAAACCTTCAAACAATGTTCAAATATACTTGTTGGACATTGTTGGATTATACATAATTTTCATTCAAAAATTACATTTTTTAGCCAGCCCGGGAACAAATTAAAAATATGAAATAAAGTCGTGTACTTTGTAAAAAGTAAAGTATTATATGCATCTATTAGATTATTGATCATAAATTAAAATTATATAAATAACATATTATAAATAATAGAATATAATACTTTACTTTTCACAAGTTTTTTTTAAATTTTTTAATTTGTTTCCTGGACTGAGTAAAAAATGAATTTTTTTTTTAAATAAAAAATTATGTGTGGTCCAACAAAATCCAACAAGTCTATTTGAACGTTGTCAGAAGGTTTTCGAAGAGTTCAATTGAAAATATAATGCTAGGTGTGCAGCGTCGGATTACCCATTATGCAGAGAGACGCCCGCCTTAGGGCCTCACTCATTTAAGGGGCCCTGTGAAAACGGAAAACTATATTTTTTTTTTTTTTAATTAATAATACCTGTATTTTATTTACGAATTTATAGGACAAAAGTCATTATGAAATATAATATATATTAAGTTGTAGGTGTTACATGCAGTAATAATAATAAATTTATTTTGAAAAAATAGAAATAATAAAATAATATAATTCATTAATTTTTCTTGCAAATAAAAAAAATTTAATAAACATGATTTTAGGTATTTATTAATAATAGTTGGTTATTACTAAAGCTATTTATTTTAAATATTGGATAGTAATGTTAAAGATGTACCTATGTAAAAATAATTTTGTAGGGCCCACAAATGTTTAAACCGGCACTGTAGGCTGTGTGAAGTTGGCAGTACAAAATGTATCGTGGGGCAGTTAAAAATTAGGGGTCCAACAAATGTCCAACAAGTCTATTCGAACGTTGTCGGTAGGTCTTTAAAAAATGGTGATGACCGGCGCACGAACGCGTTCCGTCGCCGTTTGGGTGATTGTACACCAAGTGCGATTTCAACAGACAACGCGCGCGCTCTCCGCCCACAATCTTATCTCGCGCGTTCATCGCTCCCGCGCCCGAGTGGCCCGTTATCATGTCGGGGCCGTCACCGTTCGCACGTTGACGTCGCCGCGCATTCGCAATCGTCTCGTTGTCGTCGTCGCCGTTTGCTCGCTGTCCCCGTCATCGACGCGCACCAGTACCAGCCGTTCGCTTCCGTCCGCTGCCGCCGCCCAACGGTTCATTTCGTTCGTTCGCTGTCAATGTACCGCGTTAGCCGTTAGCCGCCCCGTCGTACACGCGTACGCCGACGGGATTTTCGCGCGGTCGGCAAGTGTTCGGCTCGTCCCGCTCGTTACCGTTGTCGCGAAACGGCGACGCGCGTCCGTTTACTGCGTCACCCACGGTTCCGTAGCCGGGCCCGTTCCAGGTCTTTGCGGCCAACACACCGTGATTTCCTGTCCGAACCGTTGTTTTGGGTCGTCCATACGATGTAAGCATTCGCCAACTGTTATAGGCCTACCCTCTCGTGCGCTACGTCGCACTTGCAGTACCCGTTTCTGTGTTCGATCCATTAACGCATCGGCTTTCTTTCCACAGGGGCACGTCTCTGCGCCGTACACGTACGCCGTCCGTGAAGAAACAAACGGGTTGCTCGATGGATGTTAAGTTCAACTCTTACGAGTACCATGTTATCAGAAAGTTTACGTCCATGAGTTATGGCAGCAAATGTAGCCTCATGGACAGGATCAAAATGCGCAACATGAATAGTGTGTGGCACGAACTACTGACGTACTTGCAGTCCCCCGACGGTGTCTTGAAGATTTATAAAGTCGAATGTACACCTGGTGAAAATAACAATTGTGTAGCAGCCGACTCGCAGCCAAATTATGTGGTTAGACCTTATGTCATTAAATTAATTACATACCCTATGCTATTGTTTTCATGATTAAAATTCACAATATTTTTTTAATAAGTATTGGGTTCCATTTTTTTGCTTATAATTTATGTAACACATATTATATTAATAACTACTCCAATTAGTTTTCAAACCAAACACAATAAAATAAGCCATATTGTTTACTATAAAATTAGGTGTTTAAATATTAAGCATGTAAGAGAATGATGGCATTTATAAAATATTTAAAATAATAATAACTGTTATCAAGCTAAGTGGATACATTGATCAAAACATAATTGATTGGATATTTAATTTAAAATTAGGTATTAAATATGAATTATTTTTCAATTATTTTTTCGACTAGATAAATAATTAAATAATTTCTTATTATATTTAATTATTATATTGCTGTCTCTGGTAAAAGTATAAACATTTATTTATTTATTTTTATTGCAAATATACTTAATTTAAATTTATAGCTCAAAATAGAATAGATATTGTGATCACTAAATTATTAGTTTAAATTCAATTATTATTGAAAATACGGTTATTCAAGTAATTAGTGTTAAATTTAATCTGCATATTTTTAAGGCCACTTTTATTCACAATCCTTTGACTCTACTGTAATATTTTGACATGGACAAATGCATTTAGTTGTTAATTAAAAAATAATAAAATATATTTCTTTTATAGATAAAACGCAAATTAAAAGCTGTGATACGTGCTAATAAGGGTCATGTTCAGTGCTCAAACATTCCAAAAAATGTAAGTAAATATAACTTGAAAATCTATATAAAATATAAATTGCAAAAATATAGTTTATACTTAGTTCCATGTAAGATCAGTACTGTAATACTGTACAGAATTTTAAACTCTCTCGTTTTTTCAACCTTACCTGCTATTTTTCTTTATTTCTGGGAATTTTAATGGAAACACTGACTTTTTCCTATGAAATAGTATTAAGAAAATAATTGTTATAAATTTAAACCGAGTTAATTAATATTATTGTGTTATTTTTTTTTTACAGTTAGGTAATTCATTACTAGATGATCCAAATTACCTTATAGAAATTATAGAAAACTATCCATCTCGTTTATTGACGTTTTTGAAAGTTGAATTAAATCAACATTTGAGTTCGTTAAATATTCCTTATTGTACACCATTGTCAAGATATCTTCATCGATATAACATTGTTGAAATGTACTTAGACAATATTTTAAAAAGTGGAGACGACAGTAAGCTTCCAGCTGAGGTGATTTGTATATTGTTTATTACCTACTCATTTCTGTACATCATAATTTGTATGTATTTTATTATAATATATTAATACAATTTAATTTTCAACTTTGTTGCAGATTTTTTACTGTAAGAATATTAAAGTTTTATCTCTCAAACATAATCAGTTGCGACAAATACCAAGTTCAATCGGTCGACTTTCAAAACTAGAAGTGCTTATACTCACTGACAACTTGCTAACTGTACAGTCAATTCCTTTTAGCCTAACATTTTGCATAAATCTTAAAGAATTATACGTTGACGATAATCAACTTGAAGCACTACCTGGGTTTTTAACGAATATGAATCATCTTGAGTTGGTTTATAGATTGGGGAATCGTAATTACTTCAAGTCATTTTTTTTATGGTATCATACTGATTATGATCACAGGTAATTTTAATTAATGCGTAGTAATTGATCATTTGGTATAAAATTAATGATATAATATTTATTTGTCTATATTTATAGAGTTCGTAAAGAAATTTGGAAAAACTATTGGATAAGAGGAGAAACTGGTCCAAGACCTGTCTTTCCATCACTGTTAGACCGTTGTGCTGAAAAAATATTTTCAAGTGGCATTAATTTTTTTAATGAAGAAATTCCTGAGTCTTTAAAACATTATATGTCATTAACTTACTTAAATTACAATATATGTAATTTTTGTAACATTGCAACTGACTGTTCAAAACCAGGTTGATTAGTGTTTTGAAATAAAATGTTTGAAAATACTCATGATTTTAATTACAGGTTATAGTACAGTAACATTTTTGATTCCTTATCTGGGAAACACCTGTGTGCCATTTCAACATTGGGCATGTTCTAAAGAGTGCGTTCTTGCCATTGAAGGTCCAGCAAAAAAGTTACAGCTTGAAGGAGCAAAGAAACTAGACAATGAGTATTCTCATTACATAGCGAAGTCTAATAAAATGGACGAAAACTCAAAAATGAAACATAACCGATGTTGTATAAGTTAACTATCAAAATAATTCGACAAGTTCATTATTAATAAATATGTACTTTGTTAATAACTATTATGAGACTGAATTATATTTTAATTGTGATAGAGTGTTTTACTCAGTTACCAACTATTTAAAATATAATCCAAAAACAAATTGAATTGTTACTGTTTATATAGGTAAGATGAATACAGTTTGATATTTTTAAACTTTTTCTTTTGTAAATTAGTAGATTGAGGTAACTCATTTTGTTTAATATATGTTAATAAATATTAATTTAGTAAAAAGTAAAATAGTAATGAAGAAATAATCGATATTAAAAATACTCAATGTTTTTCTCTTATTATAAATCCTATAACTGTAATCTTATAATATATCCTTGGTCTTGGTTTCGATAGCCAATTTTATTTAATTGTAATTAGTATTGTTTTTTTTTTTTTTGTATTAAATAAAATTGTGTTAATTAACTATGCATTTAAAATTGTGTGTTGTACAGTTCATTGCTCACATACTAGTATTATACCAATAGACATGTGTAATAAACAATTTCTAGTTATACTTTTTAAACATTCAATTTTTGTTTATCATTGCTTACATAAAAATACCGTGTGTATATTTAACTCTATATTCAGTGTAATTATTATAATTGTTTAAACACAAATCTGAACTTCAGTTCCAGTTCAAATGATCTGTTTAATCAGAAGTTGGTATAAATAACAATGAATACCAGCTATCACCGGTAACTGTTTATTTAAACAAAAATAACCGAGCACTGGACAAATTTATTGCAATAGAGGTATGTTTAGATTTCACAACGATGAAAATAATTTAAACTAAGATAACCCGTCAAAATCGGTGTGTACCTAAACTATCTGAAAGTTGTCATCGTTCACGTCTGTACAGATTATTTCAGTGACACGGGCACTTGTAACTTTTAGAACAACAATATTGTTATACGATATCAGCGATCGAGTGCAGGTCTATGAAAACAAACGACCATTGCGATCCGAAACGGCGACAGAGAATTTTTGTCGAGAAAGACCTTGCAGTAATAAAAATGTTGTGTTTTCCGTACCGGATCATTACCACGGAAACGGTGTTATCGTGTGCCACTGACGATAACCGTGATAACGCGAATTCACTGTTATCTCTTATCGTCGAATCGTGCGTGCGTTTCATAACTTCGACGGTTCGGTACCGCGCACGCGAAAACGCTCCTCTAACGTTCGCGAATGTTCAAATTTCACCGTCTACCGCTAAACGTCAACTACTCGTCTGCCGTTGGTAGATCCCGAGTATTCAGAGGATATACGGACAACGTCATCTGTCGATTACGTTCAGGTACAGAAGTTGCACAATGTTTTTGATCATTTACCGTTGCGTGCGTCCGCGTTTTACGTACTGCTGCCGCGGTGTTGTGGGACGGACCCATTTTTACATTTTATTCGGAAAGTGTACACTCTTCTTTTCTTTCTATATTCCATTTAGAACGGACAAAAAATTATTATTAAAAAACAAGTTATGTTATTTTCATTTTTTTTTTTTTTTTCATATAAGTGTCATAGGAAATAACATTACACTATTGAGATTAAATTGAGCTGTATGGATTAATAACAATGTAAGATGAGGACAATTATGTATTATAATTTTGCTGAGGCAGCCAATTCTCAGGATGAAGATCATAGAGAATATGATAGAAGGGTAGAATAGAGTTTAAAAGATTAGTATTGGTTGTATGGTAACCAAGGGACCAAAGAAGGATGAAATAAAATAATCTGGAAATAAAAGAGGGATTACAGTCAAAAGATGAGGTGGTGAAGGTTACCTCGGATTTCTTGATTGAAGAGGTGCATTAGACAAAAAAAAGTAGTATTATTATTTGAATATATATTTTTTCCAAGGAACCGAATAAACTAGTTTATATTGTGTAATTTTTGTATTTATAATACATTGTAAGCATTAATATATGAACATGAAAATTATTACACTTTTAAATTATCTGTAATAATAGTCTAATAAACTATTTAAATTCTAATTAATATTTTTATTTTGCTGTTTTAAAAGTATACTAAACATATCTAAATTACATAATATATTTATTATTGACTATGTTTGTATAATGTCTGTATAATATGTAGAATACATTTTAATAAATAATAAATATTAACAATATTAATTAAACTATTCATAAATCATAGAATCAAATGATAATCATTTAGAACAGTTGTGAATTATATTTTTGTGTCAAATAATGAATAATACTGTCATAGCCACCTATAGATCTTTTTGTGTTACATATCTTGAAATGGCATAATGTCACATCTGTAAAATTAAATTAAGCTTATTTTATATTTATTTAGATGTATACTTTAAACTCAGAAGTATGGCATAGCATAATGGTTGACCAGTTAAACCACTTCTACAACTGCTAATACTTGGGATTGGTTACTATTCAATATTTTAGCGATAGAACTTGTCATACTCTTACTCTTAACAAGTTATTGAGTGTATTATAATAGTTAATTCAAAATTTTCTAAATAAAAATAAATGTTGACATTGCTCTATGTATATATTTGATTAATATAAATTAAATTATTACTTACAGTTTCTCTTATTATTTTTAAAAATATCAACATTTTTAACGTTTTCAGATGTTGGTTCTTGATCATTACCAGGTTTGATTTCATTTTCTGTAGGGTTTTCAACATTCTGTATAGGCCTTGATGATATACGATAAAAATACTTTATTGGATTTACTCTATCATTAACATCTTCTGTAGCATGTTGATTTTCTAAATTCTATGTATAATAAATGACCATAATGAAAAAATGAATAGTAATGAAAGTTAAATATGAATGTATTATGTAATTTTACCTCTAAAAAGCTTTTAAATAACCAAACTATATTTTCGTTTGACAATTTTGTAATGCCATCAGATTCATATGCAGCTGAGCGTGTTACAATAGTTATCAATATTTGCAGAACTATTATTTTCCACCAAGTTGATGCCATATTTGTATTGTTAATCTATTCATTCAAAAACCATTGCAATTAATTAGAATTTATAATTCTTAATTTATGTGCACTAAGAAAAAATACTATATTCATTTTTAGACATGAGTATATTAAAAATATTTAACCCATTATGTTTGGATTTTTTTTTATTATTCATCAAACCGCCGTATCAAAACCCTCGGGGTCATTAAATGTTGGATGTTTTTGGTACGGTGGTATGATAGTTTAATAGTGATTAGTTTGTGGGTTTTTATTTGTATGATACATATTAGACGGAGAGGCTTTTGCGGTATCTAATTTTTTGGCAATTGTCCCGTCAAGAAAACAAAACTGTTGGTGACTGAATTCGAACTGGTGACTTATCGACATGTTCGAAATTAAGAAATTAAATGCTTTCTGGGTTGCATTCCTTTGTTAATATACGATTTTGTATTATTTAAGAAATTATTTTTCTTTATCCCTTTTTGTTATTTATTTTTAATTATCTCTTAAGAAATTTCATTTAAACAGATTACTATTACATTTCACTTATCTTTATGACTTAACGTTGCTTATTATTTACTATAGACTTTTTTCTGAAAACAAATAATATTATTGCATTGATAACATTAAAAACAATTACATGCCTATTGTATTTATACAAATGTTCAGTTTTTTTATTAAATGCATTTAATCAAAGTTTAATTAGAGTTCAGTTAATATATTATTTTATTTTCTGTTTTCATTTGATAACTTATTCTCTTCATACTTATTTGATACAATTCTGATGACTATTCTAGATTGAATAATCTTACATTATAAATTATTAAAAAAAAAATTACTAATAGATACATTTTTTTTCTAATGTGGTTGATAGTTTCAGAATTATTTTTTTGATTTCTTGATTAGTTATAAAAATGTTATATCAATAGCACTTTGTATTTAGTATAGTTTTGAATATTCCATTCTTTGTAAATATTGCAATTATTTTTTATTTATTCATAGAAATTATAAATTATGATTGAATTTTATTTTGTTTGTTATTTAACAAGTTGTTGACTAATATTTTCAACTCTTTATAATACTATTTTTTTACAAAAAGCCTTTTATGAATATTCAACCAACACTTTATATTTTCTAATGTTAAGTTATTTTGTTTTAAAAAATATCATTGGCCAAAATGGAAAAAAAACGTGAATAATTGTTATTATTATTATTAAAAAAAAATTTAGTAAAAAATAAAATGGAAACTAAAAATTATTAAATAATTAACATTAGTAAATTGTCGCAATTTATTTTCTTTATTTGTACATGACTATGAATTCTTAATTTGAAACCCGTCGTATTTTACAAATATAATAATACTCCATGGTAAGTTTTTATTTATTTATATGTTATTATGTATAAATTATTTGTTTATACATATTATATTAATTTATTATACGTACATAAACATATAGTCTGTAAATTATCAATAATTAATTTAATGTTATCATACGAGACTTAAGTATGTCAAATAAATAATAGTTTCATAAATTATTAGACTGCTATCTTTCTTTATTTTATTTTAATTCATGAATCTCAATAGCTGTTTTTATATTATAATGTTTAGTGTTATTTGTATTTATATGTGTATTTTTTAAACATCATTCGGTTTTTCCATATGATAAGTTATTGTGCGTACATTGGATAAATAATTTACTTATTTAAAATAAAAATAATGTACATAATATGGTATTTTATTTTTTTAAATAAGGATGAACAATTAGAACTGTAGTACGTTGAAATTATCGTTTAATTACATTTTCATTCTGCGTATTTTTTTTATTTTTTTTTAATGCTTCTGTCCTTGTCAAAAATAGTATATTAATTTGCAGTTTATTGTTTTTATTTTTATAAGAACGGAAATTGTTAAAAATTAAATTTCCTTTATAAATGTTTTCAGTACTTGTTAATCTTTTTTTTAAATTTAATCTAAGTTTGTTTATCTATTAAAAAATGTAAATGTGCTTATTGTAAAATTTAAACGAAAAAAAAACAAGTTTTGTTTGAAGTATGTAAATAGTTTTTAATCATTTTCCAATTTATATTTGAACAATGAAATGTTATTATTCTTTGTTAAATAGTTATCAGTGATTTATAAGTCGTGAAAAAAACCGGAAAAGAACGATTTAATTTACAGTTGAATCCAAATAAAGCAATACTATGATGATTAATTTATTAATAGCTGGGTTTTATATTATTGTATTACATAAATTGATTCTAAAACATCCTAATTTCCTAAACATTTTCAGTATATTTGTAGATTTAATACGTTGTCATACTAAGTATCTCTTGATAGGATTTATGTATATGTATCTACTAGGGTTGTTATTTTATACCTAATAGTTATTGTACAATGTACTACATGTTCTCAAATGTATTTTGGTTTTTAAAACATTGTAAGATAAGACTGAATTATCTTTAGTAATTAATATAAATTATTTAAATTTCAGATTGAATAAAACATATTTTTTATTCGATTTTCATTAATCCCACTTGTAATAATATCCATACAATGCTCTATCATTGTTTCAGAAATATTTTCAATATCAAATAAAAACTAAAATTATCATCTAAGTGTTTGAATTGTTTAAATCGTCTACTTAAAGAAGAAGTCAGTTCTTGACCGGGTCATGAATTGAAAATAAAATATTTATTTTTAAAATTGTCTTCACTATTTGAATTAAAATGTGTACCAGAATTTTTATATTCAAACATTTTTTTCTTTTAACAGTCTTTTTGCTCGTAAACTGTTGATTGGAAACAATTTATCATTTAAAAATTAATTAAATTAATTAAAAATTAAGCCTGTAATTTCAGAGCCAATCGTGGGACCCTGCTTGCTCTGCTAAAGGGACGGGGTCCTGCATCTTAAAATATAAATTTTTACGTGTAAATGTTTGATTTTATAATATCACTATTTAAAGTGTATAAAAGTAAAAATAAATAAAGTTAAATGTACTTATAAGTTTCTTTCGACAAAAGATTATTAATGCTTAGCTATTAAATATATAGCACAATGTATAAATATAGTATCGTTTGAATTGAATAAAGTATTTGATTTCAATTTATTTTATTTAACATTTTAGTTTTTTAGGAATAGAATTAATCGTGTCACACAATGTAACATAAGTAAATCGATTTTTCAGTGGCATAATATAATTATTTTTAAAATTGGAAATTATTTTCGAAATAGGATACACAGAAAATGTTATTGGACAAGTAGGGAAAATAGATTATTCAAGAGACGATGGGCAATCACTTAGCGCTTCGAATGAAAAGTGGTTCCGATCCTATTCTGGCGCCAAATAACCAATTATTTATTTTTTTTTTTTATCGGATTCCATATAAAATGCAAAATAGCTTACACTGGTTCATGTTTTCTATTAAAAAAAAATTGCAACTGCGAAATGTCGTTTACAGTTAAAAACGAGGATATCGACTTATACTCGTTCTATTTTCTGCACGAGTGGTCTATATTATTTTATTGAAAAAGTATTAGGATATTTGATAAATTGTAGATAAAATAAGTTAGTTAAAAATAACCCTAATACTTGTTTATTATTAATTTTCTACTCCGCATACTTAATGTAATTTCAGATACATAGTTATATAATTATATAAACTTGATATATTCAAATTATTCGTGAAAATAGAAATTTACGAACATTATAACCATTAATAATTAAATCCAATATCATTTTTACTATATATATATATATGTATATTATATAAATTAAACTAAAAAAAAAAAAAATATTATATAAATAATATAATCGAATACGAGCGTAAATGATGAGAAATTATATTTTTCTCTGTATCTTGATTCACATAACTAGAAAACACGAAACATTTTTTTACATTAAAAAAATGTTAAGAATTTGTTAATTAAAGTTAGTTCTAATTCTGATTTATGATAATTCAAAGTTAATAATTAACAAGATTTAAATACATATTAAAAATTTGATTACAAGAGTAAACATTTGAAATTAAAAATGTTTTAATAATATTATTTTTCTATTGGTAATAATAATTACTATATATTCTTTATTATACAACTACTATAAGAATATGATTTTAAATAAGTTTATAATTTGAGTTTATTTGATGGTGATTAATTATTTTATATTTTAATCTAAATTACAATCATTGACTTTTTTATTATACATTACATTTTGTGTAGTACCTAATTAGTATAATTTTTTCGACTGATCAGCCCATGGGCTGAGATTCTAAAATTGAAATAATAAAATCTTCATAAGCAGTCAAAAAATTACTTTTTCTTTTTTATTAAATAAAAGTTCTATAATTTGTTGATTATTGCTTTTTATATATATATTTTTAAAATTAACTTAAGAATATGTTTTTCTAAAGGATACTCTCAAACAGGGGTGTTATTTGGGGGGTACAAACTGTGGCAAATTCCCCACTCTAAGAAATTTTAAAAAGTCGGCAATTCTTTGTCCGTTGATCAAATGCTATTATCAGTAAATAGTAAATTTTTATTTCCTATTTTTTACTCAATAATCAGATAATATTCTCTTTTAAATACACGTTCATGGTTTATTAAAAGTTGGGAAATACTGGTTACTCCCCGGTTTATGACAATTGTTATTACGTAAACCCTATAAACTTTATTTTTGGTATATTATGTATTTCTATAAATGTGATCTTTATAAAACAGTTTTCGTGATATCGATACCATAAAAATTGAGCTCATAATCTATAAAAAAAACCGTTAAAATCGTTCCTATTCACCCCAAACTACGGTATATTATATTTGAGATACAATTTTATGTTTTTATAAATAAGTTCCGTAAAGTATTAAATATACAAATAATAAAATAATTACTATTTATTTAATTAAATTTATATTATTATTTCATTAAACCTATTAAAAACTTATAGCCTATATGATAAGTAAATTAATTAATGTTTTACTACCTCTAATGTTATTATTTAATTGGGTAAATAGAAACGTTTCATGTTCTTTGTTTATCATCACGACATCATTATTAACTACTAATCCTTAAATGTTTTGTTCCGAAAAAATATTTTATTGATGTTCTATGGTCCATAACTATTAAATATTTAAATATATAGGTAACCATAATATTTTAAATATTATGAAGTCGGCAAATTTTAGTCAATCGCCCCACCCTTTCAAAAGTTGAAATGACGTCTCTGCTCTCAAATCTCTTAGATGCCTTGTTTAGATCAAAATGTATTATTTGTGTCTGCACTGTTATTAAAAATTAAATTGAAATAAAACCATTTTGTTTTAGAAAGTTTGAAAAAATTAAGTGTCCTTCTAGTATTTATTTTTCTTTATCTCTTTTTTTTTGTTTTCATTCTTCTAGATTTTAGTCACTGGCATAGGCGCAATTTGGGGGGGGGGGGTGTGCTTAGCACCCCATTTTCGAAATTAGCAACCCCAAATGTGTATATGTTAGTTTACATTTAAATAGTCATTACTTATTATGTATAGAAAAACATAATAGTTTTTGAATTTTTTTGTATAAATATATAAATGTTTATATAATACGAAAATATTTCGCAATACGAAAAAAAAATATCTTTGCTTTAGGGTAAAAGTTTCAAGTTTCTAGCTACATTACTTTTGGAATTATGATTAAATAACTAAAATTTGAAATGTGAAAGTCTTGTTTACAGTTTTTTTTTACCATTTCAGGATAGTTTTTTCCTCATGTCTAGAAAAACTATTAAGATTTAAAGAAATTACCTATTTAAAGTACCACCGCATGCCAATTTAAAATCTAAAAAAAGGTCCTAAAAAAAACTTTTGGACCAGTATTTCTATCCGAAAAAGTGTTTAACAAATAAAATACAAACATTATTATAAAACCATAATATCCTTCGCTTTAGTCAAAATCTAAAAGTGATCATGTGATAAGACATTTGTGTTTACAAACAGGTAATTCGCTGTACTCACAATAAAAATATAAAATCAAAGAGAACAATTTAAATTTAGAAGTTTTCATATATTTACCAAATATTTTAGTGACTGTTGAATTGTATGGTTTGCTTGTCTATAACCATTAAGGAACATGAAAAATATAGAAAGGCTTCAGCACTCCTAGTATTTTCATTGAAATTGCGCCCCCGGTCACTAGTGAACGGTATTTACGAATTTATGAAATCCAAATCTAATATTAAATTCATAGGAAGTAACTATTTTCCAAGTTTCTGTGTGGGACTTCTTTGATGTTTAAATTAGTAGTATTGGTAGTAGTTGTAAAGAAAAAGTAGATTTAGACACTTAACGTGAAATGACAATATTACTTATTCAGTTAATAGTTATACTGTAATCTCGTTTATCACGTAGAGTTGGATTACACATTTTGACTAAACACATACATAATAACAAAATATAATAGAGATTAATTTTTGTGAACAAAATCAATGTAGCATATTTATTTTAAATTATTATAATTTCTTAAATTCCATTGTTAATATTTAAAAAAATTGTATTACGTTGTATTGCTTATTTAATGTATAATGAACATTCACGTAAAGCACTTAAATAATTGTGTTTATTTTGAGTGTTAAATTATTTAATATTATAATTTTTGTGTAAGTACTTTGCTATAATATTATATTAGAATCGAGAGTGTAATTGTATTTTCTTAATTAATGTTTTTTAAGTGCATAATAAAAATCAAATACACAGTAGAAAATTACTTTGAAAATATTTTAAGAACTCAGTGTTGTACTCATAATAATGATTTTAAGTATATACTATAAGCACTTTAGGTATGTAAAATAAAAATAAATATAATTCGAATATATTATAAAACTATATTCAATTTAAAAACTTATATTTCAGTAGAATAAATATTAATATCATATCCGTATTAATTGTTTCAAATCATTGTTTAGTTCAGTATTCTAAATTGTTGTTATTTTAATTTCAGTATAAAATAGTTCGATCATCGTTTCATACTTCACACAAAATCGTAGAAAATCCATTTATCCGTTATTCTTATTTTATACTTACATCTAGATTATGTAAGCTACACTTTTGATTGAATTATAAGACTGAAGTGCAAGTGTAAATTCAATTTAAAAGTAACTAAATATTATGTAGTTGATAATACAATGATACAATTTAGTTGATTTTATGTTAATTTATTTTTAAAATGCTCAATATGTTATAAATTATTTATTACTAAAATTTGGTTTAGTAAATCTTATATTTAAATTTTAATTTTGTGTCCAATTTTAAAATAATTTTCAAAAAACAAAACAAAATGAGACATTAAATGTATACGTGTGAAATAATATTACATCTCATAAAATATGTTCGTAAACAAGTTATATATTTTAATACAGCTGTTATTACTTGTTGTTTAGGTTAAAGAAATATAATTTTGGAAAAATTATTCTTCAAATATTTTTCACTCACAATGCTGATAGTTTCTCAGTAGATCTAGAAGACATTATATTATTTGTAATTTTTCAAAAACGATTGAAAATCGAATGACATTTTGCACTATTTTATTTTAAATTATTTATCGAAGTACAATTTACAAATAAGACCGAGAATAATGATGTAAAACGTTTGATACTTGATAAGCTTTTATATTATTCTTAAAATGATTTCTAAAATAACTATTTATTATATAGTAGTGAATTATTATTTTAAAGCATACATTTTATCACATTTTAATATTATCTTTTTTTACTGCTTGACATAAATATGTACAATTTATTGTTATTTTAATTTAATACTTGAACTTTTTATGTTCTATGTAGATATATGGATTTAATGAACTTAATATTAAAAACTTTAACTTTAATCTAGTAAAAAGAATCTAATATCAATTGGATATTGGATTTCAATTAAAATGCGTGTGGTTTAACTTTATAAATCTGAAAATGTATAAAAGTCAATGTCATCTGAAATGAAGAAAATACGAGTTCGAATAATACCTTTATGTGGTTTGGAATGATTTACAGTTCCGCAACAGGTTCAGTTGAGAAACTGCCGTTTTGTACGTCGAAAATCAACAATATTTTAAAACTTTCTGAATCTGTGTCCAATGTAAATAACGCGTTGTAACTTCCGAAGTACAAATGATTACGCTTAATATTGCCACCTGAGCTTTTATAGTGCGGAGTATAGGTACACATCTGATGCTGCTGCTGCTGCTGTCGCCGTTACGGCGGCGCCGCAGTCGAGAGATGCTAGAGGGGTTGATGGAAAACGTAAAGTTTATTCCCGGTGGAAAGCCCTCAACCCTCGGTTTACCTGTTGCTGTGGTCACAAATTATCACTTCGGTCCGCGAAACCGCGAATCGGTTCGATTAAAATTACAGTACTATTTATTAATTATAACGGTGTTTAAACATGTCATTCCCCAGCTAATATACATCACGCGATAGCAATAATCTCCGAGGTTTCTGCTCATTACGCTGTACAATTATTATTTTGTTTCTAAACTGTAGTGCGAACGGCGAAATTTTCTTTAGAGTGTACGCTGTCCAAGAATATGCTCGTATATATGTTATATAATATCTTGTACACGATAATGGTGTCGTGTGGAATTGTAATTATAGTTGTTTAAAATTTTGTTTGGTACGAATTTCCATTCATCAAGTCAAGTCTAAATAATCGTTATTTTACCAGTGACACATTGAAACATTTTGAATTCAGTGACTAAATTCTAATAACACTCCTTATTAATCACTATTATATTATATCTGAGTATCAAAATATTTGACGATTTATATATATTTACTTTATTATAGTAGTAGTATTGATATAATTAATTAATAATTTTTACTTTTACAAAAAGAACTAACCAATTTTCAATTTTAATTTTGTTGTATAATTTTTGCTCATTGTTAGTTTAAAAGATATAAAAGTTATCGAAAATCGAATAATGTGTTTTTAATTAAAGCAAATGTAAGATTATAAGAAAGAGTAAACGTTAATGGTAATTATATTGAATATTGTAAAAAATTAGTATAAATTAGAAAATTATATTTATAACGGAAGAGTTCATTAATTCGATAATGCAACATTGTCATATAAATGTGCAGATATATAAAATACAGATGGATAGTGCAACCATTTAAATTCTTCAGTATAAGGTAGTGTATTATATATATATATTATGATAGTATATTTTAAAATTTTGAATATGTTACCTATCTTATTAATACTAATTTATTAATTAGGCAGTATTAGTTTCTGGTTCACTTATTTTTTCATATAAACTTACATTTTCATTGATTATAAAGCTAATAATATGATTTTCGTTAGTAATATATTTAAATTTTCCTATCAACATCCATCACAACTTGTTTTTACTGTTATTTTATAGAAATTAAAAATTCAAGTTATTTTTATTATTTGGTTAATAAATGAAAATACACATTTGACTTTAAGTGTTCAGTGTTTTGTAGCCCATTTTAAATGAAGCGTACTAAAATAAAAAAATTAATATCTTCAGAGATAATTTCATCAGGATATTACAGTGGAAGTACCCTGTATATAAATTACGTGTCATTTAGTAAACATTCATAATGAAATTAAAAATGCACCTTTCTATTAAATAGCTACTATACTTCAACAAGTACTCGTAAATATACTGTTCTTATATGAAATTGATGTATAATATTTTTATGAATTATATTTCGTAATCAAATGGTTATAAATTTGTATGGCTATTCGGCTGAAACATACAAGAGAAAATTACCTAAATATTTGCATTCTTATCAAGATATAAATAAAAATATCTATTACCCGCACATTTCTCCAACAAAAATCCATTCTGCATTTTTCACTTTAATATTAAAATATTTGTATTAGTTTTATAATCAAATTTAATCCCTATTCATTAGTAATTCCTTTATTGAGCGTTTGTCTTGATTTGATTATTTTGGCACAGAAAAGTAGTATTTTTTATTTTAACATGATGTTAATCGTATTTAAAAAAAGGAGTCTAAGTTATGTTATGTCGCAAGTGATCTTGTAGTGATTATTGAACTAAATGTACTTAAAAATAGATTTTATAAATAAGAAGCACACTTTTAGAATATATTTCATTAAATAATAATTCCTCGTAGTTTTGTTCTTCCAAGAAAAATTAAGCTTACACGAATAAAGGAGTAAACATATTTGCATAATAAATTAAATTAAAAAAAACAAAAACTAGTAATTATGATTTAATAGTTAATCTAAATCATTGGATAATTAAAATTGTATTTTACTAAAAAAAAAATACAAATAAATAATAAACTATAGCTTACAACAATTTAATTATTTATATTTATAATTTCTTCAATTTTTCTTTTAAAACTTATCAACTATATTATTTTAAATATAATTTGTTTTACTAAAAAGTATTATTTGGTATTTGCAGCTTACAGAATAAACTTTTTTTTTTTTAATATTTGTTATTTTATGTCTGCACAATAAAAAGATTAAAGTTAAGAGTATAACTGATGAGGGTTGTAGAAAAACTTTATAGGTTTTTATTTTATATAAGAATAAATTGTATAGTACATATTTTTATTTATCACCATTATTTTATAATTTTTTTAGCCAAAATCATTTTTTTATTCTTTACAGTTTAGCATTATGGAACAAATGGCTGAAGAAAAAAATTTTATTGCTGAAAAATCTAAAAGTAATAGAGCAAAATGTAAAAAATGTAAAGAAGTCTTGAACCAAGGAACATTGAGGATTGCTAAGGTCATGCCTAATCCATTCGGTGACGGGAAAATGATGGCTTGGCATCATCCACAATGTTTAGTAGCTGTATTTTCAAAACAGAGGAAAACGACCGCGAAAATTACTTGTGTGGATGACATAGGAGGGTGGGATGAACTATCAATGGAACACCAAAAAGAAATATTTACCACTTTCCCTGATAGTAAGCTATGTACCTGTTGCTCATAAAATTGCTTTTTTTATACCAACTCTCCTACACTATCTAGAACAAAATTTTCTATGTTATAATTCCAATTCCCTCAATATATTATATGCATGATCAGAGTCAACATTTTTTTTTTTTGTAAAATCAGTGAAAATTAGAATGAAAAAATTCATATAACAAAAAAATAAACATAACACTTTTTAAATTAAATAATATTAAAAATTTTAATTTGTAAATTTTATTTATTGTAAGACACTTTACAAAGTATAATCTGCTATGATTTTTATATTTTTACTCGTTTATAAAATCCTTGATTTATTTATTTTTTTTTGTGTATGCTCTATTGTGTAGATACATTATTCATAGCAACTGTTTACAGTTTTCCCGATGTTAAAATTTCGTTTTTTCTACCATACACGCTATTTAATACGTTGTATGTAACTGGTAATTTTTTTCAAATACTGAAAACTTGGAAAATTGTCACCAATTACCTATTGAATTAATAATTTGTAGTAGAGTAGATACATTTGAACAATGAAATAATAAGTATTTTTTAGTTCCTCGCGAGAAATTTAAAACACACGATGATAGTCCAGTTGAAAAAGAAACACCCAGTAAAAAGAAATTAAAAACAAAACCGCCTCCAACACTGGTGCCATCGTCCAAACCACAAATGCAAGAATATCTTTTTAAGGACTTTCGAAAACTATGCATGAAGTTATCACAGGAAAACAGTCATCTTCAAAAAACAGCAATTTTCAAAGAATTCATTGATAAAATATTATCTAAAGGTATGTGTACATTTTTTAATACAGGGAATAAGGCATTAAATTCTTTAAATTATAATATTATTGAGGTACAATTTTAGATTGTCTTCGTATTATTAGTAATTGTTTATTTATTAATAATAAAACAATTAAGTCATATTATTTTGATACTGATATATGTGATTGTTGCTTGAAATTTAAATTTAATACTTCTACTTACAAAAAATTACATTAAAGGTTGTATCTTAATTGAAATAAATACAAATAAGCATTAAACTAATTAAAAAAAAAAAAACAAAATTAACACGCTTGGAATAATTCTGACAATTTGTTTGAGACATCATTTTACTAATATTTATATATGTATATAATCCTGTTCAGTATACCTATATACAGTTATACAATTATTTTTTGTATTAATAAAAATACTTAGGCTATATTTATTTCATATTTGTTTGCGTTTGATTGAACTTTACTTTAGATTTGTAGACCAACTAACAGTAACAATTATATCAATCAAATAGTTGCATTTCTTTTATGGTTATGGTAATAACTAGGGAACATAATTAAATGCTCTAAAAAAGAAGAAAAATGCTTTAAAAAAATATGATTTAATGCCTTAAAAATATGCACTAAAAATATGCCCTAAAAAACTTTAAAATGTGTTTATATTCAATAAAAACACAATTTTGAATTTTAAACTTATAAAAGAAACACATTATTATGAAAAATATTTAAATACAATACAACCTTAATTAATTAACCCTAAATTATCTTCTGTCCATTTTCTTTTTACTCTAAAAAATTAAAAATTAATAGGTATACAATTTAGATAGGTATATTCGTTATACTTTTACCTTTTCTTTCATAGCATTGTATAATCAGGTGCTGCTTAATATTGTCAAACAGAAATCTTCGACGGTTATCAGCCAGTATTGATTGTAACTCGAGAAACTTCGTTCCACGTCAACTGACGTCATAGGTGCAAACTTCATATGAGCCATGTCATCTGCAGTTAGTTCTTCAGATATTGTATTATTTCGAGATGTTGCTTTTCATTCCAAAATATTTGAAATATATTTCATTGTTTTAAATCTCGAATTTTTTTCAATCACAACTTCTAGTTTTTTTTAATAGATTTTCCGATACTACTGTTGTCTGTTCCGATTTCATTTTGTACTTGAGCAATAATTTTAATTGCGTCAGCCAACGATAATCCAGATGTTTCCATTGTATTAATGTATTTTGTTAAATTTCCATAATTTGCTTTGATAAATGTCACGTTTAATTCCAAATTATTATCATTTAACAGTTTTTGTACATTTTTAATTGCTACAGCATCTTCTTTATCAAAACCCATCACAACAGATTTAATCAATTGATAATTTTCATAATAGTATATGGCTGCCAATAACCATGTACTCCATCTAGTTAGTATTAGTTGAGGGGGCATTGGTATCCTTGGCGCCATTTCTTTGAATTTCAATACTTGAGATGGGCATTTAAAAAAAATCTTTTTTACGTTCAAAATAAAAACATCAATTTCGGGAAATTTTTTGCGTATATCTTCAGTTACTCTGTGTAGAGAATGTTGCCAAACGTGTTCCATTTTTGAATAAAACGCTTTAATATTTTTCCTGTCTTCACCATATAAGGTGCTGCATCACTGAGAAATAGAAGTACATTATCGTGTTTAAAACCCTATGGCCACAACAAGCTCATAGATTGATCAAATAATTTAGCTATTGTACTATTATTTGCTTTTTTTAAAACTTCGCAATTAAATAAAAAAATTTTACTGGGACATCCAATTTCTAAAGTGCCGATTATGACTTATGATTATGATTTAGGTATTTTTATTTTTTTTAAATGAATGTTGAAAAAATGACTTTAAAACCATAAAAATGCACTAAAAATGTCAAAAAATGTAAAATAAAAGTAACATTTTTTAATTCCTTGATGTATAAAATGAACTTTTTGCTTGATAACCAATGTTTTTGGACATTAAGAAAAAAATGCAATTTGCATTCAAATCCGATCCTTAGTAATACCTTTGCTATTTTATTAGTAAAATGTACGCTTTTTATGATTATAAATTCACTCTAACGTGTTTTAATTTTTTTTTTTAAAAAATGTTTTTTGTGGAAAAAGACAAAAGTTGATTTTGGTAGAATAAGGTAACGTCCGGTATGTATTGGATTAATAGTTGGTCCAAAAAAGTCATATATAGTTAACAAAAAAAAGCGAAAATTGTATATATGAATTTATATCGACTGATGAAAACGTGTCATGTCCCATAAAATATAGATATCTGTTTTATTTGTATTTATCTTTGAAAAGTAATTGCATCTGGATAATTTGACAAACCTTTTGTACCTATAATTATTCAATTGCTTATTTATACAAAATAGGTATATTAATGTAAATATTTTATATGACTTAATAAAAAAAACTATATTAAACTGTAAAATAACTAATTCATTATTCATATAAATTATTAGTAATTTTATTCCAAATTAAAAATCGAAATTTAGTTTGATTAAATTATAATATATACATACTGCTGCATACTTTTGTTTTTAATTTCGCATCGTTCTTCAAATTAATTTTTCTTTTTAAGCAAATTAATATAAAAAACCAATTTTTAATAGGCTTCAGAATATTATGAATTAAACATATAAAAATGTATTTGTTTTGTTCATTATATTTACAACTCAACTAACTGGGCAACCTATAAACTATAAACATTTAATGTACCTATATAATTTATAGTTAAATTATTATAGTCAATAATTATATAATAAATATGATTTCTGTCTTTAACTTATTGATTCTAGTGAAGTACATTTTTATTATTCTTGTTATAAATAAATCTATTTTAATTTTTGATACATTTTTACTTGTTTTTTTTTTTAACTGAAGAAACTTCTTAAAAATAAAATGTATAATAAAAAGATTCTATATTTTTTTACAAAATAATTATTATTAATTTAACATATTGTTATTTTAAATAACTAGGATTTTAAGACGACTCACTAAGAACAAATTAGATAGTATTTCAATATTTAATTACTCGTAATTAAAAATAGAATGAAGTGTGATTTTTTATCTTACACTCATAATTAGTATCTTTAATATTGTTAAAAATTAGATTTTATTTTATGATATTATTTATTTTACAGTTTATTAAAACATAACTTCCAATTGATATTTTATCTGCTTCAACCCAAACGTGTAATTGTTTACATTTTCTAATTACACGGGATTTAACTCTATTATGATTATGAAATTTAATTAATACGAGTATTTTTTATTTTTTTTATTCAAACCATGTACTTGTTTTGTTTATAGAACAGTCAAATGAAACACGCGCAGAAAGCTTGTTTTTGTGGTGTAAAATGTTATTGCCTAATTCGGAAAAAAGAATTTACAATTTACATTCCAAACAACTTATTAAATTGTTTAGCCAAGTAATGTATAATTAATTTATTGCATTCAATATAATATAATTAAGAATTAACTACGATCTACATAGTTTAAATTTGTATTTTTTAATTAAAATAATTTATGATAATATCGCATTATTTATTTCTTTGATTGATTTGTGTTTGTTTATTTAGCTGTTTAAACAAGATGAATTCCTAATGCTAGAAGACCTGGAAAAAGGAGATGTAGCAGAGACGATCAGAATATTTTTTGAAAAAAATAAGAATATCAAAGCAGTGGAAAAATCATTTTTAACCTTGAGTAAAGTTGATCATTTTCTCGACAAATTAGCAGTTGAAACTACTGAAGCAGCACAAATGAGTCTTTTTAAATCTATCGCTTTGTTGTAAGTTAAATCTATGGAGTATAAATATTGCTTTTTAATTTAAAAATTCATCGAAACAAAACATATAATTCACAGGTGTACTGGAAATGATTTAAAAATGATTATACGCCTCGTGATGCATGATCTAAGAATTAACTGTGGACCAAAATTTATGTAAGTACATTTTTTTAAAAAAAAAAAAAATCACTGAATATTAAAAATTTTTTTTACGTTTCTTCAGCTTTCAAGAATAATTATAAGAATTGTTATATTTAATAATATTAAATATTATTTCAGTATTATTCTAAGTTTTTGAAACTTTTATCAGTACTAATTTTACAATGTAAAAGTAAATTTAAAAAAATTAACCATTAATAAAAATTGTATGCACTCTTGGAAAGTGATTATGTTGCTATATATAGTATATACATGATTGTACTCGTATGGGTTTATTTTTATAGTATTATACTAGTAATAACATACGTATTTGAATTTCAAAGAAACTTAAATGGTTTTTTTATTTTTATTACCTACTTATTATATTATTCTGGACCTGTATTTGAGTATAGATATAAAATTAATTAAATGAACCATATAAAATAATTAATATAAAATTAAATTTTAATTTATTTTGGAATCATTTAAATTTTAAACAAATTAAGTAATGAACCGTTTATTACTATTTTATGGTCGGTCACTGTTATTGAACAACCCTAAACGACGTAATATGATCCCTATCAATAATCTCACAGCTACGAAAATAAAAATTAATATGCTAAAACTTAATACGTATAATGTAATTTATGACTATTATTAATAGATACTTATTATTTGTATTATATTAATCCCAAATGTATACTGTGATCAGTGCCGTAACTAGAGAGTCAAAGACCCAGGTGCAGACAAATGTACATGGGCCCCTCTTTCTTGAGATACATAAAAAAGTCAGACTGACTTCACTCTATGAGAATTTTTTACTCCTTAGATCGGATAATATTTGTGGATGTATTGAATTTTAAAGAATCTAAAAAAACGTATAGATAATTTTCTTGCTGAAACAATTCTGTGTAAAGCTTCTATGTAGTAGGTATACAAGATCACAATTGTATATTGAGTGGATTTTATTAATAAAAAAACTTGTCAAATAAACTAAAAAGATAGATAAAATATATAATATGAATATATGATTATTGATTTTATAAATATGATTTAGGTACAATAAAATATAAATATATATATATATAAAAGTAATCTATTTATGTCACTATAGGCTTAGTGTTTTTTCCAATATTTAGATAAAGGATGCCAAATAACACAGACCAGTCTTTTACATTCTTTTATATAAAATTGAATACAAGATAATAGTACAATAATTATGAATCAAATTAAAACAAATTGAAAAAAAAATTGACAGCTATCTGCTATGGAACCTTTGACTCTGCAGACCCCAGTGCTGTGCACCGCCTGCATCTATGATTTTTACGGCATTGTGATCGTACAACGTTGTTGTTTAGACGTCCATGTATTTCAAGTTAATGTTTGGTATCTTTGTTATTTTGTTCTACAATAGTTTTATTCTTTGTTTTTGTATTTTCCAACAACTATGGTGCAATCTCTGCTTTTACATAAAGTAATATTTTTCTTATAATTATATTAATTAGTTAACAATCTCTGTTAAAATGAACTACTTTTGTGATGTTCGTAAGCAGTGGCGCCGATCCCTATATCCAAGTATGGCGGCTGCCATAGTGAATTATGTAGTGAGTGGGTACTGGGTACTGGGTAAATAATTTGTTTTACTGCATAAATGCATAATAATGCCTATTACGTTGCCTAAAATTGATCAGTATGAACGTGATTTATTTTAATATTAATATAAATAATGGTAGTGGACAAAGGACTTATTGGTGAGGATGGAGACTTGAAAATAAATATTATTTAATACATAAAGTGAACACCTATATCAGCTACATCATAAATTATTGATGTCACAATATGAAAATAGATACTCGTATAATGTTTATTATGTATTATTATCAATTTTGAATACAATATTATGGTAGGGTTTCAGCCCTCCCCAACCGTTTACACCAATTGGTAAGTGGATAGGTAGTATTAAAATTTGATAGTCACCATACTGCATTTTTTGTAGTTCGGTGCCACTGTTCGTAAGGAGTGTATTACTAGGTTTAAATAGTCCGTGATTTTTTCCAAATGCCAAGTCATTAAAGTTATAAATAAACTCAACTATGTATAACAATAAAAATTGCAAAATACTGTAAAATTATAAAATTAACTGCACGCAACCAAATGGAATTTTTTAATTTTGAAGTTACAAAATTAGTGTTGAAAATAATGAATTTTGTACTTTCCATCGAAACTCAGTATATTGGAATCTGACGAGTAAGTTCTGTTCACAATTATTAATACGAATACGTATTTGAATATATTGTACAGCGAGACGGTATTAATATTTAATATATCTACGATAAATTCAAATCGTTTATTATACCACGTCGAATAGAATAAGAAGCTATGCATAAGTAACTTCTATTGATCTTAATAGTATGTTATTGATAATAACTTATGTTGTGACTTTAATCGAAATTAAATACTATACATTTTATGATATATATATATAGTTCTATTTGTTCATGGGTAAAATACATGACGTCAATCAAGGTTCATTTTCAGTTAAAGTTCTGTCTGTATGATTCTTGTCACGCGATATATTACAATACAAGTACGTTTTGTCTGAATATTTCTCACATCTCTAATTTTCCTTTACTGGCGTACTTCTAAATGGTTTAATTTTATTATTAATTTATATTTATTCCTAAGCTCTGTTGAAATATTTAAATAAGCAATGAAATCAAATAGAAACTTACAAGTTATTAATCTATTATCTTGTATTTAAATCTAATTAAAATGGTTATTCTTGTTTATTAATATTTATTAAATTTAATATTCTAAAGCTGTATGTTAATCTATAGCTTTTAGATTCCTTATTCAATGTATACTTTTAAAAATATTTTATATACTTATTGAAAATTACTTATTGGTATCCGAGTGTTTATGTATATTCAATTAAAGCACACTTCCCACGTTTCAGACTTGCTCTATAGTTTCCACAGTAATATTAATAAAACGTTTTATGTTTCTGAGTAAAATTGGAATAAAAAATATGATATACTCATATTTCGGTTTTGAGAATAAATCAACATTTTTTTACTTTTTATGTGTTCATTTATATAATTTGTTGATTTCGTTTAATTAAATTCATAGAATTAAAATATATGATTATTTCTAGTTAGTATTCTGTCAATAAGTACTCGTATTATATACGAACCTTCTATATTCTCTGCGCTCAGTTCTCTTTGAATATTTCTAAATTTATATTTCACTCTTTTTTGGTATATAAAACTGCTTCATTTTTCTGTGAAAAAATATAATATTGATTGTTGAAAAAAAAATCCATAAGTGTAACTTTTAATTAAATTAACGTTAATATTTACTCTTATTTTATAATTAAGACATTCATTCAAGAATAGAATAACTGAGGCTATATTTATAATTTAATGATATTTAGTAGTGAAAAAATAATTATATTTACTATACTGACATTTTTCAAAGCTAATTTTATTTATTATTTTTAAAGTTCTGCGACTGATAAAAAGTTTCGAAAAACGTATTTTACTCAATATATATTTTAAATTGTAATTTTAAGAGTTCTATAAGAATAAACATTTTTAAACATCTCGACCACTTATGCGTCATTCTTAATTGTAATCAGTAATACAAAATTGTTTAAATAAATTTACATTTTAAGTTATATTTGAATTTTTAAATGAATACAGATAAAAATTTGATTTTTTTTTTAATATTTCAACACTTGAATTGCATATCATAAGTAATAAGAAAAATGCAAAGATGTATCATAATTCGAGTTTCATTTTGTACAAAATAAAATTTTAAAATGTTAAGTTGTATGCTAAAGAATTTTTTGATATTATTTAAATAAACTTGTATCATTCAATAAGTCTTAGAATTTAATTTAAAATGTTGTTGTTGTACAAACTACAACTTTCTAACTTTTATCCTTCGTTCTCAAATGGATTATAATAAAATTGTTGTATTAAAATTATTAACTATTGTTGTATGAAATACAATAAATTGAAGTAATTAACTAGTATCAGTTTTATTAAAAAAAAAATGATTTGTCGTAGATTTCTCAATTTTTGGGATTATTTCCATATTATATAATTTATAAAAAACTATATTAGAACACATTTACTTAGAAAAGAGTAGTAAAATTATATATATTTACAAAAATATGTAACGAAACTCACCATCTTGCTAAAATTATTAAAATATAAAATTTATGTAAGTATATGGTGTATGATTTATTATATTTTATAGTTTAGGAGCCATTCATGCTGATGCCTATCAAGCATATCAAACTTCGCATAATTTAAAAGCTGTTATAGAAAAATCGTGTTTTTTTGATGCGTCTAAGATAGAAAATAATAAAAATAGCAGAATGAACGTCAATGTATCCTTGTTAACACCGATTTTACCTATGCTAGTGGGTTATTGTTTATTCAATTACTTTGTAAGTTAAGTTGTCTTTTTCATATTTCATATTTTAGGCTGAAGCATGCAAAAATATAGATGACGTTTTTAAAAAATGTCCTTCTGGTATATATTCAGAAATTAAATATGATGGCGAACGCGTACAACTACATAAAAGCGAAGGAGAGTATAAATTTTTTTCAAGAAGTCTCAAACCCGTCTTGAATCACAAAGTAAATATTATTGATATTAACCTAAGTGCACACACACACAAATACATATGATATTACGTACCATTCATTTTTTCTACTGAATGTGGTCTACAACTTGATTAATGTGTTATAATATCCAGGTCGAACCATTCAAAGAGTATATTCCCAAGGCTTTTCAACACGGAGAAGAGCTTATTTTAGACTGTGAAGTGCTCATGTATGATCATAAAAGTAACAAACCACTACCATTTGGAACCTTAGGAATTCATAAAGTATTTTTATCTTTTTTGGTGATTTTTATTATAGTTTAAGTAATACATTTTTTTTTTTTTAGAAAAGTAAATTTGAAAACGCTAATCCTTGTTTGTTCATTTTTGATTGTATGTATTATAATGGCGTGTCATTATTAGACAGGTATGAAGTTATAAATGTATATATTTATATTAAATACAAGATTCAATTAAATAGTTCCCATCTAGTTATTTTATCACTCATAATTATAAAATGTAAATCGTTTTAATTATTCAATTATTTTTAAATGATTACGATAATAATTAACCACTGGTATTTATTCATTAATAAAAACAATTTTTTGCAATTAAAAAAATTAATACGTACATCTTATTCTTCATTAAATATTGTATCGGTTAAGTTATACGACAACACTTTACGAGAAGTTAAACTCGTCTTAAACTAATTCTACATTAAATAAAAACCTGTAAATATGTTTTTATAATTTTCTCAGTCTTAATAAACAGTATATAAATTTCTTAACCTGTTTTATGTGAAAACATAATTGTATTTTTTTTTCAATGTGCACTGTCACATTTCTTTATAGTATACAAGAATTACACATTTTTTTATAATGATTTCTGATCTTATTATCGAAAAATTTAGCCAGTTTGAGGTCACATAACTTTATATATCTTTGCGTTAGCATAATACTATTTTGATAAATAAAAAAAAAATTCAATCATTCAAAAATGTATTCATTATTATAAAAATAATTAAATATCAATATATTATACAATGGTTCATAGATATAATTTATCATTTTATATATTCTTATCCAGTAAAATGCTATATTAATAACTATTTTTTCAAGAAAAATGTCTTTATTATTTATGAGTTATAACTAATGATTTAATGAATTTCGTAGATCGATTGTCGAACGACGAAAAGTTCTGGAACAAAACATAACGGAAATTAAAGGACATATTATGTTATCAGAAGTTAAAAAATTGCATGTTTGTTACATTCAAAATATTTTTTCAGTAATAGGTGTTTAATAATTCGTATTTTAAAAATGAAAATCGATTTTTTTTTTTTAGAACACTGACCAACTTAAGTTGATGATAGAAGATGTTTTGAAACAAGGCCTAGAAGGATTAGTATTAAAGGGTTTAACGGTAAGAAGATAAATATAATAAATACTTTTGTTGCGTATACATACATTGATTATAAATATTTTTTATTAACTATTTTCTACTATGTTTATTACTTCCAAAAACGTGAAGTATACATAAGACACCTCACGATCACTGTATCGATTTCTATTATTTAAGTCCATTGATTCGTCGCATTTTTTTTTTTTAATCAAATTACAAAAAAAAAAAAAAAAAACACCTTTGCTTCCAGTGGGGGGAGATTAGAGCACGAAAAATTACTCCATCGCTACGTTGTTTTTTTGTTTGTGGTGCAAAAACTATGTCATACACGAGTGGCTCAACAAGTTCATGCTAATAGCATACTAAAATAAAAATATAAACAAAAATCAGAAAGTAAGTGAAACTACGTCCCTTCAATCCCAGTTACATATAATCTAAAATGTTATTTAATTGTATGGTAACTTGTTTCAAGTAAATTGTATACATTTATTAAAGCATTGATTTTATCTTAATTTTAGGGAATTTACGAGCCAGGAAAGAGACATTGGCAAAAAATAAAAAAAGATTACTTATTTGATGGTTCAATAGCTGATAGCGCTGATCTAGTTGTTCTTGGTGCTTGGTTCGGTACTGGGAATAAAGGTATTTATATAAAATTGAAATTGAAATTATTTGAACTATGTCTGATATTTTGTTCTATAAACATTGTTTTGTCTAACAATGTTAGGTGGTATGATGTCAATATTTCTAATGGGTTGCTATGACGAAGCGAAACATGTATGGTGTACAGTGACTAAAGCGCATGGTGGTCTTGACGATAAGACACTTGAAAGATTACAGGTGTAGAAAATGTTTGCTTTTATTCAAATCCATTAGGTACTGTTAAATAGTATAAGTAAGGTATAAGGACTGTAGTCATAGGTAAACATTGTAATAATGCTTATGTACCTACGGGTATTTGCACTAAATTTTGAATGAAAACTGTTATCTAATTATTTTTTTTTAATACATTACATTGTACTTCATTACGATATTCGTCTTAAACATAAAATATTAATTTAAATTTATCTATACGATGTAGGTATATTATATTTATTACAAAATTATTACAATTTAAATTATTATTTTATCTAGTTTTTGTCAGTTATTCTCGTAAAAAAATATGAAATGAATGTCTATTATTAACATTATTATTAAAACGGTTGTAACAGTATTTTATAATTAAGATTTTTAACATATTATCTATGGATTATTGTTTCAGAACGAATTAAAAATGATAAAAATTAGTAAAGACCCCGAAAAAGTTCCAAGGTGGCTAAAGTGCACTAAAACTATGATTCCAGATTTCGTTGCTGAAGATCCTAAGGTATGTATTGTGAAATCATTGAAATTGATAAATTTATTTTCAACAATCGAATTTACGATTAATAAGTACTTATTCTACATTATTAATTTCGTTTAAAAATACATGTTTTTTGATATATTTAAATGTGATTTATATTTATAATCAGTCGAATAACCGAAAATAAAAAATAAATTTATATTCATATACTTATACTGTAATTAGATTATTACTAATAATTCTGCACGCTAGGCAGGTATTCCGAAGATAAAGTAGACACAAAACAACTAAAACACGTATCACCCAATTGATTAGTCTTAACTCTTACCAGTCTTACTCTTAGTTATATTATATATATATATATATATATATATCTTAGGACTTGGAAAATATACGCTTAAAATTACCTCACATTTTACAATTTTAAGCTAAAAAATGATAGTTTAAATTGCGTTTGATTTACTTGCCACGCATTTACTAGATTATGGTCCTCTGCTGGTCCTAAATAATTTATTGATACGCATTATTGAAGCTTGTTGAGTATAGTTCTTGAGTTAACCCCAAAAATGTAATGAAACTTTCATGTTTATAATATATTTGTACAAATAAGGTTACAAACATAAATGGGTTTCTGTGAAACAAACTATATATATATATATATATTATATATATGTATTACGAGTATTAAGTTCAAGAATTATCGAAATTATAAAGAAAAAGGTATTAAAAATTGTAAACAATACATGGTAAAATGATTTTATCGCAATAATGAATTCGAATTTAAAACGCAAATTAGCTGTGACATGTACACAGATAAAATTTGTGAAGATGTGTTGCGGCCAACGTCCGGGTCGTCGATGAAACGTTCCAATTCAACCGTGTAGCATTACGATCGCTGCCAATATTATGCGCAACGATTTCGGACGACATCCAAGAATCGTTATTTTTGCGCGCGTGTCGTTTAGGTGAAATTTTTGGCCGATAGCGCGTCTTCGCTTGTTTGCGAAATTCGAAAAGTGAACGGCTTCGTCCCGTGTCGTCTGCGAGTATATTATACCGTACAAGAACCGGCCGCTGAGATCGTATGTATACATATTCTGACATTCTACGGCGTTTATCGCTGTATCGGTTCTACGTTCTACGTATTCGGTTGATTCCACTTGTCGGACGCGCGAACCGATTCGCAAACAGGTATCGACGTTAAAAAAATTGCTACGGTTTTCTGAGACTGTTCATTACTGTCGAAAAACCGCGTGTCTTTTGCTCTTCTTGCGCATCGCCCGAGTTGACTTGTAATACATAGATACTGCGTGATAAACAATAATATCTAGTCCACTGTACTTGCACATGCTTTTTGCTGTTCACCACATGTGTTCATCATAATTACCAAAATCAATTACGCGTAACGTCTCACGAAACCACATGTTTTTATTTACGTATATTCGATGTTATTCGTTCGTGACACGAACAACGACCTATCGTTCGTATCAGTAACGAAGTCACGAATAAAATATACGATAAACGTATAAACGTTATTTATCAAAAACAATCACAATTAATGCACATTTTTACGTCGTATTCCCGAAACTAATTAAACTAAATGATAAAAATCACCATGTTATCTACATTTTTTTCTTAAGTTTTAACATACATATATATATTTATACAGACATTTTTAGTTTAAATGTGAAATAGATATTAACTAAAAATTCTGTTAAGAAATAAATATTAATTAATACTCTAATTGAAAATACAATTATGATGTTAAATTAGTCTTGGGCTATACATACATATCTGTATCATATATTTACTATACTTATATTTATATATATTTTTTTTTTCAATAAATTATATTTTATATCCCATTAAACAGAAAATGCCTGTTTGGGAAATTTCCGGTGCAGAATTCTCTCAAGCTGAAGTTCATACTGCTAATGGTATATCATTAAGATTCCCTAGAATAACTAGGATTAGGGACGACAAAGATTGGAAAACAGCTACATCATTAACCGAATTACAGGTATGTTAATTTAATATCTTACAATTACTGGTACTCAATTTGTATTTTAAATACAATTTTTTAAAATAAAAAATTTTATTTTTAGAATTTATATAAAATTTCAAAAGAAACAAGCAATTTAAATATTTTTTCAAATATTAGTCCGACAAAAAATACTATTTCTGATAATGATTCGTCACAATCATCACCTGAAAAAAGAAAAAAAATTAAGGTAAAAATAGTCAATCAGATATAGTTAACGATGAGTGATAAATGGGCATTTTTTCTATCTTATACTTATTAATTTATTTATTTTATATATATATTTAAATATTTAAATATGATTATCATTTTTATTTGAATTTTAACGTATTTAAAAATTTTTTTATTATATTATACAACTATAATTATATAATATAATAAAACATATAAATGTATAATACGTATACTTATAAGTATACGTATTATATATTCTTTTAAATTTAATAAACTATCCGCGGCATCTGAGGCCATTGGACGTACGTATTATATATAATATCAATAGGATTAATATTGTATATAATGTAAGTAAAAATAAATTATTTTTATCTATAACAGCAATCTTTAGATACGGATGACGGAGAATCAAGTTCCGAACACTACACTGAAATTCCTGCTAAAAAAATTAAACTTTCTATAGGACCACAGCGAGTAAGAACTTTATATTTGTATAACTTATGCCACAAAAAAAAATAAAAATAAAATAAATAGATAAATTAAATTACGAAGTCAACAATTTATGTACTTTTGTTGGTTGAAGTCATATCCTTTGTGTTATATCAAGGACGAACACAGGAAAAATTTTGGAGGATCTTGAATATATGTAAAAGAAGTTGATAAATAGCATGCTTTATTACTTATTATATAATTAAGTGTGGTCTAAGGATTAAGGTGGTTTAAGAGTGGTTTTAAGCTATAGAGGTTAATTTTTTTTTCTTATACTTAGCTGCGATGACTTCTAAAATATGTTCATTGTTCTAAAAAACAATGAATAATAATACGTTAATCATAATATGTTAATTCCTTCTCATGCCTTAAGGAAGTAAAGTTTAGTAAAAAGGGGTACATTTTCAGTTTTTTTACTTAGCACATTTCATTTTTAATGTAATGCCGAAATCATAAGAATATTGTAGCAATTAATATTTTATAAAAAAAAGGTATCTCGATAAATTAATATAAAGTTGGCTGTTTTTAATAAAATCAAAAAAAAAATACGTCAAAATTAAAGTTTAGTTTTATTCATTTAAAATTTAAAGTTATATACAAATTATAAATAAACACCGCTATAACGCATAATATTTCTTATAAAAAACGTTATAATTAATTTATTATTTGAGGTGTAGTATAAATTAACGTTTAAATTTAATGTTAGTCAAAAAAAAATCAAAAAATATTTTTATAACTTGCTTTCAAAGTGGTCCTGTTAAAACTTGAATATTTTTTTCTATAATCATGAACTGTCTAAAAAATATTATAAATTTAATTACATTTAGAGTCGTATTTAAGTGGTGGTTCGGGGAGGCAGTAGCCCCTCCTGAAATATTTAAGGAGTGGCAATATTTTTACGGTGATTCTAAATAAAACCAAATCGATTTTTTTGCATTTTCATTGGAAAATTATTTTTGAATAAATAAAATAACATAAAAAATAAATATTGTATATATTATTGTATATGTATTATTTAGTAACGTACAAAATATATATCTGTTTAAGAGTGTTGTATTTGAAATGGTATTTTATTGAGATATATGTATTCTATTTTAATTTGTATGGAGATAGGACATTCAGACCTAAAAAATACTAAATTATTTAAGGTTACCACCATCAGTCTTATAAAAAATAGTTTTCTTTAACTAAATTATAACTCAGATATTATTTTGGATTTGATATTAATTACAAATATTGTATAATAGTGTACTGTAATGGGGAAAATTAATTGCAAACGGCTTATTAATGAATAGTTGGAGTCACTTATTTTCAGTTTTACACTTCAGGGAAAAAAGGCGGAAAATATTTTTGCTACTGGGCGAAGAAATCTTAAATACGGCCCTGATTAAATTTGTTTTATTGTTTACTTTTTAAAGGTTTTTAAAAAAATTGTTTTAATAGAATATAAGAAATTGGTGTTTACCTGTAGCACTAATTGTTTTTGATGTTAATTTTTTATAAATTTGTAGTTAAATTCTTAAATTAATTTAACTCCTATTCCAGCTGTATCATTAACTACTAACCTAACCTAGCTACCTTCAGTGATTCAATTAGTTTTTTCCCTAATTTTTAGCTATATTATATTTTTAGAACTTTTATCGCGATATGATTATTTTATACAAGAACCATCTTTTATCAAATCAACAACTTACAATAAAATATATTGGATACCTACTTCAATGGAAAAAAATTTATAATAATTTTAGTGGATTAGATGTTTTTCACATAGAAAGTTAATTTTATGTAAATACTTAAGTTTATAAAACATAAATATAAAATACCCATTGTGTTTCTAAGTGATTGACATATAATTTTTTGGTTAACATGCTTGATTTTACATTACAGAATTAAGTTGAAAAATAAATAAAAATCTTTACTGTACAATATATTGTATACTTTTATTGTTTTTATTCACTGTGTTAAGTAACTCAACATTTTAAAATAATACAGATAGAAAACTAAAAATCGAACAATTTTCCTGAAATCTAATTTTGACGTGTTTTTCTTAATTTTACGAAAAAATACAAACTTAACTATAACTTAACAAGATCATTTTTTTAAAAAAACCATTGTATTACTACAATAAAGATCTTTATGATTTTTACATAGCTTCAAAAATTAAGTAAGTATATTCAAAAAACTGAAAACTCACCCCTTATTTTAGAACTTTGAACCCTTTAGGGCACGCGAAGTAGTTGATTGATACGCTCAATGTTGATCATAAATATTTTTTTCAAAACATAGAATAGAATTTAGGGATCATCGCAACAACAATTTTAAGTCAAAATATATAGTACCCTAATATATATATTTATATATTATAAGCAAGTCTCATGGGGAATTTTGAAATAACTATTACATTTGTAGGTCGGTAATTTTTTATAAAAAAAATTTATGATATTTCGAGGGAGGGTGTTGAGCCTCTAAAACCCTCCCTGCATTTCAGTTTGTGTTATATCATTTAAACAGTGATACTTAAATTCAATATTTATAAATACTATTAGTATACATAAACGTTTTTCTGTATTTCAACAACTGAAAATCTCTTCTGTAGTAAGCACAAAAATTTCTTTTTGTCTTTTATAAAAAATGTAACAATTTTATTTCAATAATTGAAATAAATTATTGATAGTCCAATATACTCTTATAATAATTATTATTACAACAATGTTTGATTTTTTATTTTTTATGTTTTTGTACTGGAAATACTATATATTCCCAATAACCTTTATAGACGTTTATTTATAGTTAGTTTACATTTTTTTTTAAAAATAACTTATTTTAAACTTATTTAAACATAACTTATTACAATCGATCAATTAATTATAATTTAGAATATTAGTAGTATGTTAAAATTGCAATATAAAATTCAACAGGAAGACTGTGATTAGTCGGATTCAGGAACATATTTTACCAGATTTGATTTATCTCATTATAAAAGAAAAAGTTTCAATATTAATTAAATTTGATCTCTGATTAAAAGGTACATATTTCTTACAAACAAAATTAATACATTTGAAATTTAATTGTTTAACTTGAGATATTTTAAGATTTCTTGCATATGCCATTTAATTAATATTTATTTTTATAATTTCTAGCGTTTACCTGATTTATTTACTGGAATTCGTGTTGTTGTGCCAGATTCAACGTCTAAAAATACATTTTTACGGTATTTTATTGCGTATCCTTTTTTAACCGTTATGTTACATTTATTTAAATGAACTAATAATTTTTATAGATTTATCTGTACATAACTTTACATATTATAGATATATTATATTATGTTTATAAATATTTATGTACTACATTTTATTATTCGTTGAGTAGAAATTTATATAAAGTAATAGAGTATTCCACATATATCAACTACATCCGGAGTTAATACCTTCTCAATTATCGTAAGCTCGTATATTAATCACAGTATGTACTAATAATAAACTGTTAATATACTGATTTATTTGCATTTACCTTACAAACGGTTAATAAGTGCTTCTATGATATAGCAATGAATTTGACCACTGAATTGCAAGTAAAACATTTAATTTAAATCTGCTAATTAACTTTTAGTTAATTTTATTGGTATATTTATTTTTATAATTCAACGATTAATTACTGTTAAAAATATGGAACTTAATTATAACGAATATAATATATGTATCACAATAGTTAAAACAGATTTTTAAAATACCAAGTTTAATAAATAGATTTTAATATTTTCTTAATTCTGACGTGATTGGATACCTATTTTTAAAAAAATTTTCTCATTGAAAATAAATTATATTTTTTCTTAATTTATATATCAGTTATGGAGGTACGTGTTTAAACGAAACTGATGAATCTTTACCTACGCATGTTATTATTTCAAAAAAAGGACCTAATAAATCACCAGTGGTAAGTGTTATTGATATAGTTTTTAAGTACAATTCATGTTATAATTTGTTGCAACATAAAAAATGAATTTAAACATTTAATAGTTTGTAAAAATTATGATATTTGATTGTTATTTATTTTATGTAACGATTATATAAATTACAATTGTTGACAAATTAAGGGTTTTTGACATCATTACTATTGAGGTCGATTACCTTGTACAAAAAACTTATCTTTACTCGTGCTGAGATTAATGTATAAAAACTTCATGTGTGTTAAAACAGAAATCTCAGGAAAAGAGTTCGAGCATTGAAGTTTGCGCTCAATGGTTTTGGGACAGCATAAGAGCCAACACCCTGCTGCCGATTGAAAACTATTAAGAACGCTATTATTTATTATTATTTTATTTTTCAACTAATACTTTCAGTTTTTATCATATAAACTATGGTTTGTACTTGTAACATATGAGAATTTCCTATTGTACTTTGTATCATCGCTCAGTTTCAATAATAATAAAATTGAGTTATACGAATCTCTTTCGATCATATACGAATCTAAATTTCATTTAGACCTACTAATTTCTATAAACGCATTATGGGCTGTAAAAGTGACGAAATCAGTCAATCGGCAATTGCAAATAGCATACTCCTAAAAATCCCTTGTCCATTTTAGATTCTAGAAGGGATAGAGTGACAGTAGAAGTAATGCAAATTACAAAGGTGGTGTAGTTGAATAGTAGTTAGTTCTGTACGGTTTAACTATGTGTATTATATGTAACACAAAGTTTCAATTGTTTGTTCCATTATACGGTATTGCTTACGCGTGTATATAATATCACTCGGTTACTTAAATGCGTAAAACGTGCCAACGTGTACAAACCGTCAATGGATACCTACATCATATACGTTGACAGATTTTACAGATATAATTCACGTATCGTTGTTTTGTGATCCTAACCTATGCGAAATTCCCAAATCGTAATTTATTGTCAACGTTTAAAATATGCAAGTAACCCATTACTTTATCTTGATTCATTCAACTATATACACCCACTTCCTAATTTAAATAAAAGTAAAATATAATAATAAACTACACGAACGGATCTGTAGTGTAAGATACATTGAACTTTTAAGTACTATAGTTTTACTGCTGGTTACTTAATTTACGAGAGTGTGTTTAGGTATATAAAAATAATCAACATAATTAGATAATATATTTACATATGCTAATCAAATGAATAAGGTTCTTCTAAAAATGTATTGAAAGCCACACAGATAGGTATAACCGTATAAATACAATTTATATGTATATTTTTTTTTACAAATGAACAATGTGTATAAAGTTCTGTTAAACGAAGGGTGTAAAGCACCCTTGTACATCCGAGTACGGTGTTTATCGTTTATATATACGGTTTCGAGCGAATCACGCGTCAACCGTAGCTGCCAATTTATGCAATGTTGGTATTTATTTATATTTTCGATTTCAAACGCCGATTAGAAAGTGTATGCGTATTTACCTATATGTGTATCAAAAACACGTTTCGAGATAGTTTTTTACATATAGGGACACACACGAGATATGGACGTACACATTAACGTATAATGAAATCTAGATGCGTAGACACGTCGGAGCGGGGTGGTACGTACGTGTATGACGACGCAGCAGGCGGACCGCCGATCGGAATTCCGGACGAGTAGATTTGTTTTCTACGCGCGAGAGAGAAAGAAGCGCGTGGAAGAAGAAGTGGGTCAGCAGTGAGCGGGTCAAGTTGAAGTTACCGACTGGTTCGGTGTAGCGAGTGCGCGATCTCTTGATTGTTGCGTGACGCACGCACGGTGGGTGGCGGCCGATCAGTGTCTGCTAAATTCGTATTCCGGCGGATCGAGGGACGAGAACTCAGAGGCGATCGCCCCCCTCCACCCACCCCTGAATTAAAATATTACCAAAAATGTTACCAGGCAAGTTTTGAACAAACGCTCGCAGGGTCCCCGAGTGATTATTTTTTTTTTTGAAAATACGAATAACACGTAACATAACGTTGATTTCAGCACCTCCGAAACTCTTAATGTGCACCAACTATGGACCGTGAAACGGTGGTCTGTAACGTAGAAGAAAAACTAGGCGCGTCGCGCCTCGCGTCACGGGAACCTCTCTCTCTCTTTTGTAGGGGACTTATCGTTTTTGTAAGATTATTTATTTAATGACCTCCCCCTCCCCCCGAAAAAAATTCCGCTGCACGCGGTCGTCGAACCCGCCAGCGGGTATCTGAAGGTGGCGGGCGCCTTGATCGGGAGGAAGGGGCGCGAAAACGTGCAATTCATCGCACCGATCCGTTGGGCCGATAAACGGCTGCGCACGTCGCACACAATACACTCGAAACCAATACATACGGTGTACGTGCGCGAACTCCACTATACGTGACGACGACAAAGGACGGCCACCGCGTGTATCCGAATCGACAAACGAAACGGACCGAACTTTCATAAACGTGTGTACTATACACGTGTCATGAGTACGCAGAAGAATCGCGCTTATTGTATGTACGCACGTGAATATAACTTAAGCTGGCAAATCCAGACGCGCCTGTACAAGGGGTGGGGGGGGAGAGAGACGAGTACCGCCGTACCTCGTATTGTTCACGTGCGTATACGTAATGGTTAAAAAGTGATTTGATTTCGTGTACAGAAATATTAAACGGACCAGATGGACCCAAGCGTTTTCCAGCGATGTTTCGAAAAGATCATAACGTTTTCGCCTTCCGGCAGGAAACGTTCGAACCGATGCCGTTACACGGTCGGCGCTCACGTTTCAAGTCGATCTCGTTTGTTTTCGACCATGGAATCAATCGTAATCAATCGGCGGTACACCGCGCACGCTCTTTTGAAACCCAACATTCGTTGTACTCGTCGGATCCGATGCGTATTACGGAATACCGCGCCCGGCCCCGATTACAAGTCCGCGGGGCCGGCAGCAGGGTCGCGGACGGACGTGGTCGTCGGAAACATTTGGATTTGCCAACCACTGGGAAACACGGACGGCCAGCGCGTGTTCGGCACGCGGCCGACGACGGACAAGTCAGCGGCGAGTCGGGTACGTCAAGATCCGACACGGCGGTCCGTGGTGCGCGCACATCGCCGCGCCACATCCTGGTCGTTCCGTCCGTAACCTTCGCGCGCTCGCCCGTTCACCCCCGCCGACGCCGCCGCGCGTATATAAACCGTTTGGTGCGCCGCGCGCCGCCAGTACTGGTCCTCCGCGTCCGGCTTCGCGTTCCCTTCGGCCTCGCACGCACGTGTCACACGCACCACGCGCGCATCTCGTACGACCACGCCGCCCGCGATCACTGACCGACCGTGACCACGATCCGCGCGCGCCATGTCCACGGACGACGGCCCGCGGCGGTGATGCCGTCCGCGCCGCGTCATTCCGCCCCGAACCGACCACCGCGGTACACGGCCGCGCGGCGCCAGCACCACCAGGGACCGAGCGCGCGCACCACCGACGACCATGTACGGCAACCGGCTGCTGAGCCTCACGGCCGCGTTCCAGCTGATCGCCATCACCGCCGTACTGTGCAGGAACATCCAGTTGATGTTGCCCAACATACCGGACGTGATGCACCCTCCGATCCCTTCCGAAGGTTCGTATCACTGCGCAACGCTATTGTTATACGCGCGTTTCCGTAACCTTTCGGTCGTCGTTTGTTCTTCTCGTCTCTCGTTCCGCGAGGCAAACGTGGTCGTCCACGCGCGCTCATCGCCGTAATGTACCGACCAGTGACTACAGCTGCGCCTATCCCGCGTAACGCGTTCCGTCCAAACTCCGTGCGGCCCTGCGACAGTGTCGTCCGCACCGGCCGTTTGGTCGCGAGACAACGGCCTCACGAGATGCCGCCATATCGTGTCACCGCTAGTTTGTGATTCGGAGGCTATCACGTGAATACCTAAAATACGACGAGGGCTTTAACGACGCTTTGTAACGGTATTATAACGTAACTTTATTGATTTGTGATTTATTATATTTTTATTTTCAACTGTACCTCATAATACATCCTTTATCGGGTATTCGATTTGAAAAGAATCCAAGTGCTCGAAACACCGGCCGATTACTATCGACATATCTATAAAAACAAGTGCGTTAAAGTTAATCAACCTCGTGTAAACCACTTTTTATCAAAAATAAGCTTATCGGGTGGAATGCGATGGCTAGAGGAACTAATTCAACAGTAGTTTATGTAAAAGTTGATTTGTATAAAATCTATAATTGTTATAATCGGTTTGCTCTAGCATAATACATCCGGAGCAAATGTTTTCGCCTCGAATTACTATAAGTTTCGATGAACTCGAAAAAATACTTCACGGCATTATTGTAGTTCATTTTTCAATCGGAATTTTCTTCTTTGAGCAATCATGTGTGTTTCATTATTATCGTTACATGATTTATGTCAGTACTAAAAATACTGTCTCGTTAAATATATTTTTCGAGTCGATCTTTTTCACGGAAAAATAACATACTGTGCCGATCGATCGTTGGGAAAAGTTTGGTCACTCCTGTTGTACCATCGTTTACGTATAATAGACGCACGTAATCGCCGTGTAATATGGTTATCATTATCAATTGTGGCGCGCACGGTTAACTGGGAGAAAGTCTGTTGCCGTGCAGTGCGACTAAGTGTAGTACAATACACTATACACACACGTAGAGAGATGGTGGTGCGGAAGTCGAAATGAAAAGGCGGTTTCGAGGACGTACGTGCGTACCTACCGATATACTCACCCGGCAGAGGATAAGTGCGTAGATAGTACGCTGAAGTCAGTACCAGGTTCGAAAAATATATAAGCATACGTAATACGTACATTCGTATAGGTATTTTTACCATGTGTATCCAGTGGAGTTCTTACCGGGGAGAGGGGGATTCTAACCCTCATAAGACCAAAAAAAAGTTATGAAGTGATGTTGTAAAATATTTATTGTTCGCTCCGAGCTAAGAGTAAAAACATAATTTATTGTTGTGTAAACGTTATGTTCACTCATAATGCATGTTTGTATGAAAATAAATTGATAATTCATTTATACAACTATTTTTAGTTCAAGCTTCTAAGAAAGATATATGAAATGTTATAAAATTATAACATTATACCTATGTCTTCAAATTGTATATCTTACAAAATAATAGCGACATTTAAGAGGAATTATAACCCGTTACCCTCCCCCCGGCTACGCCACTGCCTTAAAGTATATGATTATTGAAAAAAGATGTAGACATAAATAGGTAGCTTTTTGGGTGTATAATTTTTTTGAGCCTTCCTCCCCCACAGCAAATTTGAATGTACGCCACAGTGTGTACCGACCGCGACCTCTGAACTGTTCCTGGGACAGAACAACCCTTCGTTTTCATTATTGTCTTTTTGACGGAATTACCGCGCGTTAGCAAACCGTTTCTAAAACCGTTATTTACAATACCTATACGGTAAGTTAATCGTTTTCACTATTTATATCTTTTTGCGATTTTTTCCATCAATCACTATCGTGTAATTATCGTATGAGCTACGGATTTACGTACCTGGAGGAGGATTTACTCTGGGCGTCACTTAAACCAGGGTGGTACAACCCGATTAGACCACCCTGACCTAAACCATCAACTTTTAGACGGTAAACTACTCGGAAGACACAACAAAACCTAATTAATTATCGGTGCACTAGTATGTGTATTTAATAGTTAGGAGTTGCTTATCTATTCTAATCAAATTTCTACAATCTCGTTACAAATTTGTTTACATTGTATACCTACTTATTGATTTTTAACCATCACGTTTTCAATATTTTATTTAAAAAAAAACATATTATATACAGTTTCTTCTTATACTTGTACAAAAGTAATGTATATACTCATTTGCATGCTATAAATAATCAACCGTCGTTAATAGTATTGTTTACTGTAGTCTGTTAGTATAAAATGTAGAGCACTTATTGCTAAGTCAACCATATCATTAAAAACCCATTTACCTAATATTTTAAATAAGATATTTGTAAACTAATTGAATTTTTATTGGTTTATACGTGCTTATAAGGTAAATACAAAATCCCGTACGAGTAAATCATGTTTACAATTTAGAAGTCTAGAGTTTATAGGTTTGGACTTGACAAATTAATTTTGAATTCGGGAGGTGTAACAAGTACGCCGTTTCGCCTACTCCGCCCATGTGTCGACCAAAACGACTGTATTAGGCAGCGGTCACAGTGGCACCGACGTCGGTGAAACTCGCCCAATCATTTTAAATAAAGTAAATAATATAAAAATGGTCTCGTGCCTCTGACCGCATCGGCCGATAACACCGACGTCGGATATCCATCGGACAAAATTCAATTTCGTTTGTTTTTATCGACCGATTCAGTCGGCGTAATCAATTCAAACACGAATATTATTTTATTATATTACATTTTCATCGTGGACTGCGAGAAATTAATAAGTTTTTTCGCTGAAAGAAGGCAGCCCCTATTTTTTAGTGAACCCTGATACAAAGTGTGAAGTTCGAAACTGGAAGTGTGTACTACGGATTCAAGAAGTGTGTTCCAACAAAATACTAATAAATAAGCCTACTGTGAATGTGTTTTTAGGAATCCAGTTTTAGTAAGACAGCTGATAAGGACTTAAATATATCTATTACATTATAAGTTATATATCCCACATTAAAATAAAAAATGTATAAATCGTTTTCAGATTTATTCCAAAGAAAAGTATACTTTCATTTAAAAAAATAATAACAATTTCATAGTTACCCAATTATAATGTGTAATTTGATTAATAGAAAAGAACTATTACTAAAATTGTATTAAAAATTATAATCATATGGAAAGGGGTAAAGGAGGGCTCTGTATATCATTGTAAATCTGTAAAAAATTTGTAGTACGAATTTTTATAAAAAATAGGGAGTGAAAGAAGGAGCATATAGGACCATAGTGGTAAATCTTCATGCTGTTCTAATAATTGGTGAAACAATGTTTGGAATTCTCCATATTTTTCCCTATCCTTAAAAATTGCATTCGTGTGATGCTTTCGCTTTTTTAATAATAAATATTTAACAGCAGGACTTGTTTCCAAACACAAAAATGAGGGGACATCCGTTTTATAAATTATAACCTGCACTCATTGCATTTAAATGAACAACTGTGTACAACAGTATCTAGTACAGTCAGATTATATCTTGGATACTATACGGCATAAGTAGAAAACCTGTCTAAAACGTAATATCCTTTAAATCCAATAAAATTTCATTGCAAACAGTTTTTCGGCTTATTTAGTGTAGTATCCATGATAAAATTTATGACGGTACTAGATACTATTCATTTTTACTGTATACGTATGTTCCTTTAAGGGCTCGTCAGTATTAGATCGGGTAAAACGGCGGATCACAGGTATCTAATGTGTAGATCAACAGTTACATTTAGAAGTGGATCGAAATATGAGTTCTTGAATAAAGTACCGACTAAAATTATTATATTTATTAACAAAGAATCGAATTTTAAATATTTCGGTAGTATTGTTGTCGATGACAAATTTGACCACATTAATATGATCATTAGTCTTAATTTGTTGTTCTTATGCAAAGCGGCTATAATAATCGCGCAACCTGCGACAATGCAACAACGATTTTCTATTTTTTTTTATTTTTTCTAAACGACGATGACTTATTTCACTTGACAAATTTATTTATTAAACTTGAATTCGTGACAGTAATGATAATTAATGAGTGGATAATAACTAATACGATGTCTAAATGCATCATAAATATGTTATACCAAATATTTTTATTTGCGATATAACATCTCAACAGTTTAAAAAATAAAAATAAATTAATATCTACTTCATGACTTATAATTTGTAGCTCAACCAGTGAAGTTGTATAGATATTTGAATAATCATACACATTTTATGTATGTACTATACACAACAGCATTGTATATTCTAAGTATTTTCCGTACAATACTTATATTCATAGTGATATCGATACTATACTATGTATATTCATGTTTTTCCCTATAAAATAAAATTTTCCTATTAACTTTTCCGGTGATAAATAAATTAAAAGTGAAATAACTACAACATGTTTATATCAGTAAAATAATTAAAATCTCATAAAATCGATAGTTGGATTTAAATGATATTTTCAAATTTAGATTTTTAATAAAATTAAAAGTCGAAGGAACTTATCAAATGAAACATACGAGTATACCTACCCGTATTAATATTATTCGAAGAGGACTATAAAAAGGACTACCCACACGTTCGCTTGATTTAAAAACCCATTTATATCTAATAGTGATGGGAATTATATTCATATTCTACGTCTAAGCATAGTAGAATCAGTATATTATTGTGTATTTGACATTGACATAAAAGCACATGAACTGCACATTGTTGAAAAAGGATAAATCAAGAGTTTTTGTTTACGGTCCGCGCATTTCAGTCGTTCTCGACAGTATCATTAATATCGAAAAGTTGCTACATACTCGTACTCCACGTACTTTTTCTCGATACTTTAGTTTTGTTTTTACTACGGAAGGTACTACGGAATCGAAAGTAAATATTAAATTGAAAACCCCGTTTAGAGATTGGACGAGTGTTAATTGGTTTCGGTCGTGTATTGTTGTTCAAATTTTAATTATTCTTCGTAAAATTTGTTGAACGATAAAACACAAAAAAAAATACTACAACCCATCCAATGTATATAACAAAGTTTGTTCTCGAAATGTGTATTACAGCCGGAATCAGCGAAGAAGATATTGAATATCTCCAGTCGATGGAAAATATCGATCCGGAAGTCAAACCTGGTTTGTTCCAAGGAGACATGGCGTTAAATAACGAGGTACGCACTGCGGTTTATATTATACTATAATAATTATCTACTCGTACGTTGACTTGCATTCATTTTTTTTTTTCTAACAGTATTTCGATTACTGGCGTGTGGGATTGCGATGGGACGTTTTCCCTGAAAAACTTTGGCTCAACCGCACTGTGCCGTATTTGATAAGTCCGCTCTACGGTAAGAACTATTACCTATGTGTAAACAGGTAGAATCCACGGCAGACACATCGGTAGAAAAACAGTTATTCCGCCGAAGCTTATTAATATTGTTATTTGTTTTTCTTCTTGTTCTAACCCGACCGGTTTGACATGTTATCCCTCAGAAACCGAACACCGCATTCTCATATACCAAGCAATCAGGACGATCAACTTCATGACTTGCATCAAATTCGTACCGTGGACCGGCAGAGAGCAGGATTATTTGATGATATGGCCGGTGAAATATCCCTCTGGGTACGTGTGTTTTACATTTCAGCATATAAGTCTACTCGTCCGGGTCAGTACAGTTAACGCGTATTATACGTACCTATGTATATGTGTAGTGTACACAGTAATACTCACTTCTGTTCCATCGGCGCACGTAACCGTGTATAACCACCAGCGTCAGCGGAAGGTTTTTCGGGGCTCGGGGCAGGTTTTTTCACGGGACCCTAGAATTTTTTTTCGGGAAGCCAAAAATGTTTTCTCTTGCAGACCAAAATACTTTTATGACGTATTTTTTAAACAGAAAAATAAAATTAAATAAATATTGGTAAATGGTTAGTACTCCTAAATTAATATGTGAATAAATAGTTCATACGTACAGAAACAAATAAATGAACGCGTAGCCTGTAGTATTATTTAAATGTGTAATGTACGACCGGTTTTGAATTAAAAATTCATCATTAGGTACATACCTACAAAGTAAATAAAATGGCAACTGTATTTTTTCATATTCAGTCTTATTGACTTTGTATATACTTGATGATAAATTTTTAATTCAAACCGGTCGTACATTAAAAATACTCCAGCTTACGCATTCATTTATTTATTTATTTCTATATTTTTTTGTTTTATAAAACTTATTTAAAAACAGTTTTTCTTAGATATTTTATCATTAAAGCATTAAAAATATGTCATATAATATTGTTTATTAATTTATTATTATTATACTATTTATAATACAATTTGATTACGAAACATAATACTGAAGTTAAAGATTTTAATATACCATGTACCATACACATTTTCACATGACAAGGGACACTTGTTATTTCATTTTAAAAACAAAATTTATAGGCTTAAAAATTATTAAATTCCTTGAAATGCGCGGTGTCCCTAAAACACAGCTGCCTTTTTGCTTTGCCCTTCCGCCGGCGCTGAAAGCGATAAAGAAGTTAAGAACTACCTTCGAAGGTCGCAGTTGAATAATAGAGAGTTAATTCGATTTAATACTCAATCATCTGAAATTATTGGTGTGTGTGTGTGTATAATGACCCCAAATAACTTCGTAACACGTATACAATATAAATCTCAATATATTACAATATTGTTTAAATCCCAAACTCATAGGTACCTACTTAACTATCTGTATCACTGTATTACATTGTTTACAATATAACCAAATAAATACTTCATCTATAATTATACTTTTGACGCTACTCTTAATAATATTGCGGCAAAAGTGATTTTTTTTCTCAGATTTTTCAATAGTTTTTTAATTTGTTATTTTGAGCTTTTTATATGCAGCATAGTGATTTTCCCTATTGTATTATGAGTTAGCTATTTAAATACATCGGTATGAAATTTTATTTCGAAATATTCGGTTGAAAAAACTTTATATTTTGTATTGGATTTATTTCCTTCGATTTTCTCCTAAACACGAACCGTAACTCAACCGATACACAACTCTATTATTTATAATTGTATATAAATTATACATAATAGTTAGCCGTTTGCTGTACAAAACTTTTTTCACAAATATTATTACATTGTCACTTTTAAACTACAGGTGTTGGTCTTATGTCGGTCGTTTCGGAGGGCCGCAGGTTGTTTCATTGCAGCCCCCGGATGACACTGGTTCCAATTGCCTGGGCACTGACGGGCGACCTATTCATGAGTTGTTGCACGCTCTGGGAATTTTTCACGAGCAGTCTAGAGCCGACAGGGACAAATTCGTCAAAATAAATATCGATAACATTATACCACGTACGTCATTCGAATTAGCATTAATATTACTATTGTCACGTTTTGCATAGTTAAGTTTAATGTTCTTACATTCATTTCAGAATATCGATCGAATTTCGATAAACAAAGTTTGAAAAATACCACGTATCAATTTGAATACGATTACGACAGTGTTATGCACTACGGCAAAAACTTTTTCAGGTATGCAAAAAAATTTGGTATTTCGGTTCTGTTTTAAGTAAATATAAAACTAGTGGTTAGGTATATTTACCCGACACCGCAAATACATTAAAACACAATGCAATTTACGATGTGTATTATCAAACACGTACCTACTACTACTAAAATCATTAGCGCAACTCAGGGATTGCAGATTTCAAATTTTTTGTATCCTATAAGTATGCAAGAATATGTACAAACTAAAAATTATCTCAAAACCAATTGTATAATTGATACAGTACATAAAATAATTTTTATTACAACAGCAATAGATAAAAAAATAATCTCTTTAATCTCAATTTATTATACTTCAACAATTATTTTGAATTAAATATAGTTTTTATTTATTTTATTAAACATTTTATTGCACTTTTTGTAAATATATGCTAATTTAAAGTACTTATTGTGTGAATCAAAATTTCCACTAATAATTATCTATCTATATCGGAAGGGTTACAGTTCCCTCACATTATTTCAGACCTAGTTCCATCGATGGCTATTATGTAACTTAATCATTGCTTATAAGTACTTTGATTAACATAAATAATAGTTACTAAAGCCAAATTTAGATAAAATTTAATAACTCCACAAATTATAATTATTATTATGTTATTTTAATTATTTTGTGCTATGCATTTTACAGCATTGGCAAAGGAAAGCAAACCATTGTTCCAAAGTATGAAGGTGCAACAATTGGTCAGCGCAAAATGATGAGCAAAACGGACTGTTTAAAACTCAATGATCTATATGGATGTCTTGGAAAGCCACCTAATTACAATTATAAGTATTATACATTATGTAATTATATGGGCCTTTAGATTGGATTTGTATAGTTTATCTTAACAATAAAAATAATTTAAGTGTATATTAAGAAAAATAAAAAATTGTTTATTTTATGGTATTTTATTTATTGTAATTCTAAAAACTAATTCAACACAGAAAATGTAAAACACTTAACTATTAGTTATGGCATATTAATTATACCATGTTATTAACTAAATATTGTTGACTAGAGTTTGAAAAACCTTGAAAATTTGCTCATAAAATGTTAGATGCATCGCTGTAACAAAACCTGCTTTCATCAAAGATGGAGACAAACCTTTGAAGAGACCAAAAATAGTTTCATCTTTGACTGTACTACGAATACAGTCCAATAAGCCGCTACACACAAATTTCTGAAAATAAGAAGTAATAAATTAAACAGGAAATACAACAATGTTAGTGAACACTTAATAAACAATAACTATTTTTGCTTACTTTGCCGAAACCCTCTCTAAATTGAATAAAATCTTGTAACTGCAATCGTTTTTTTGCTACGTCTAGTGGATACACAAGTGTTTTCGACACTATTCCCGACATAAATCCAGAACCAAATTGTTTAACACTATTTAGATAGTGATCGTTAAAAGCTATTCAAAAAATGAATCTTATATTTTCAATGAACAAATTTAAGTATATACTAAAATAAGTGCATTTGCAATATCTGCAATTATTGTGTACAGAACATTACATACTATTATTAGTACTAGTATTTGTTGAAATACATTTTGAAAATGAATTGTAGAACATAAAAATTAGTCCGCCTTGTAGAGAGTTTTGTAGTATAGTAGGTGATATTCCTCTATAGTATGCTGATAACCCTTCAGTCTTATATATTGATAAGGCCACATCTTTCATATTTATATATATCTATAACATAACAATTAATAATTTCATTCTTTCATTTTATTCTTAATGAAAATTACTATGAATAAATAAACATACCAGGAGTCTACTACTAGATAATTTAGATTAACTAAGGCATTCTGTTGTATTCAAATCTACATTTTTTATGTATTAATTAGAAATATTTAAAATATAAAAAATTCTATTGAATTTATGAAATTTATTTACAATTAATTGACTAATACTTTTAATTTTGATCCAACAAGCAAAAAAAAAAAAATTTTCATATGTTCACATTACACATGGATTACCTGATTAGATTTTTGAGCAACTAAACGAGTACGTATTACATCAAATGGATAAGATGTTAGAGTAGCTGTTGTTGAAGATAGACAGCCACACAAGAAATGAACACCAGATGTCTGGTTTAATCTTTTTTTATTTGTCGATAAATAAGCCAGAGATTTTTGAAACACTAGAAACTAAAAATGTTATTTAAATATTAAACTGTGAAAAAATATATCATAAAAAAACAATTGTAAATACTTAGACTTAAACATAACACTGTTTTATTTACTTACATAAGGATGGATATACAATATGTAAATACACCATTATACTATAACAAGACAATTATTAATAAAACTGTATGACTGTAAAGATTTTTTTACTTAAAGTTAAAACTATAACACAAATAACTCCATGAAAATCACTGTAAAATATATTTTGAACAATGACATTTTACACAGTTTAAGAATATGATTTAATTGATTGCACTATATATCAATTAAATTATAACTCCTATATATCCATGTATAATGACTTTTCATTTAAACTACTCATAAATATTTCAAGGTGTTCAATAAAGGAAGACAATAGTAAGATAATAGTTTATCGTGGAAATAAAAAATAAATTTTTATTTTTTATGTTTAATCAAGTGAGATTTTGTCAGTATTTAAAAAAAAAATCAGTAACTGCATTCCAAGAAAATAAATTAAAAAAATACTAAACATTAAATCCTGTTATCACTATGATAATTTGTTTAGTAGTATAATATTTATTCATCACTATTATAATAATGTACCTATAAATAAAATTTAGTCAATAAATCTTAATTAAAAACAATTTTTCGTTTTAAATATTAGAAAACAATAAATATACAAAAATACAAGCTTAAATATTAATTACTTGAGTTAATCCATAAGTAATTGATAAAAATTGTGCTGGAATATGACCTTTCCATAATGCTTTAATTCCTTCTTCTTTACGTATAAGACAAATTGATTGGTAAAAAGACTGATATTTGGAGATATTTGACTTTTTTGATAACGGTTCCACTTGAAGCTAATATAAAATGATCACTTATTAAAAATATAATATAATAATAAAATATAAAAGTTGTAAAAAGTTGTTGATGCCTATCACAAATTATGTATGTTTATCAGAAGGATAATTGGCAAGATAAGGCTATTTTAAAGATTTTCGATTATTTAACTATGTTATAGAAAACATTTATAAATTTATATTTCTATACAGTTATACTCTAGTGAACGATTTGTGAATATTTTTATTTTAATTTTTGACTAAATATTACTAAGAACTATTTATTTAATAATAATTTTTTATAATATATTCTGTGTACATAATAAATCTTATATGAGCCACTTAATCACCTGAAATCGAATTTTTATGACATCTAATGGTTGGCTAACTAAACGAGTAATAGCTCCACTGCACGCTCCTGCAGTACTATGTAAAAGCCCTGTTTTTTGTTGATTAGCATTTTCACTGTCAGACGTCATCAAAAGAGTTTTCGAGTACAACCAACTAAGTGTAAAAATGGGTATTAGTAATTTAAAAATAAAAGTTATTACAAAAACTTATCTAAAATGAAACAACTACACAAGACGATAAAACAAAATAAATATATATTAATACAATTTCATTAGGTTCAATAATTACATTATATAGAATACTAAGTAGTATTGATTGAGATATTAATCATTATGTAAATACTACAGACTATTTATTAAATTTTAAATAATGATCTGTTGTTGAACATTATAAGTCCAATTTTAGCATTTAAATAAGCGTTGTCTCGTGTTAATCCATTATGATCGATACAAAACCATCACAATATCAAGCAACTATTAATTAAATGTAATGTTTGATTTTTAAAATGTTCAAATTAATTTGCTTGTTGTAACAATCAACATACAGGTGTCTATTCAAATATTCTGAACCGATTTCCTGCTACTTGTTTTTTTTTTTTTTGGGGGGGTTTATTGGGCCTTTAAGACCATCCTATACTACTTGTACTATACTATACTACTATACTATATATACTATATGTACTATACTACTATGCTATTTGTTTAGAAAACACTTAACATAACAATAAATCGCACCAAACTCAATAACTCTACTACACAGTATCGAAACGATTACCGAGATCACAACTTGAAGAGAATACGAAATTCGATTATAAATGTCATTAATCTGGTGCGTTTCAAACTTAGACCATCAATCATAATGAATAATAAAGCAGAGGATATTCACTTGATGGTATTGATAACAATGGTAACGGATCGATAGTCGGCGACCATCGATTCATGTTAATGAAATGTAAATCGATGAAGATCGTTGGTCCATAATAGGCCAGACTACGACTCGTCGTGTGCTTGATTGAAAAATCATATTAATTAATAAAAAAGTAGCTTCTAGCTTTCATGATCCTATGAATTGGTGCCGCGGTTAAACACTATTTATCCGCAAACAAAAATAATAAAACAATATGATAACAAATTCGGTCGACGATAAGAAATGTCCATATGATAATAAATATAACTGTAGTAACAATTAACCAATCATTCAGTGCACTTGAAGTTAAAGTTGTTATATAACATATTTCATCATATTAAATATCATAGTACTATATCATAATAATATATAATATTATTGTAATTAAATAATATAACAATATATTTATTAAAAATATCCGAAAAAAGTGGTCTGATGATATGACAACGAAATTTGTAAATATATACTCGACATTAGAAGTTTTGTAGTAACATATTCGATGCATCAAACTTATTTCGTTTAAAAACCCTTTATCGAAACCAACAAGAAATGGGTAAACGTAAAAAAATTAAATATATATATATTTTATGTTAATACTAGTATGTTAACTTAATAGTTTTAATAATAATACAATATGCCCTTAGTTATGAGGGAAGGGAAAGTGAAATATTTTTAATTTCTCACTCCTCTGGTTTTTTTCATTACTACAAAAAAGATATATAGAGTAAATTTGGTGAAGATTAATTACCCTCTTCACGAATCACAAGAGGGTTGAATATTGCCAAACAGGGTAGTTTTAGGTTTTTTTAATTTAATTCGAAATATATTACATTAAGCATAAAATTGTATAGAACCTAAATTGTATGATCAAATACTGTCTATAAAAAATATAATAAATTTCTGGTTAATCCATTATTTTCTATGAAAAATATTTGGAAAATTATATTAAATAGATAAGTAACACAATATACTATTATAATATTATTGAAAAGTCATATAAAGTAATTTTAAGGTGTAAAATAATGATTATATTCTTACTTTATAAAGTGACTGACCAGTTGATGAAAAAAATTACACAATATGAAAATGTAGTGTCCATTCCATGAAATTGTATGCAGTTGATGAAATAATTTTATATTTCACGAAGTGTAAAAAAATGGGTTTCCATTTCGTGAAATTGATAATTTCACTAAATGGATGCAATATATATGTATATGTATAAATAAATAATTTTGTTTTGAAAATAATTTTTATAATTAATTTCAATACTTACACTAACTTTTTTAATAAAGATATTAAGGGCGCCAAAACATGGTTTCGCCCGAGGCGCCAATACTTTTAGTGCTTCTAGAATACTTCTGTGTCTACAATTTTTTATATTGAGCATTATATAAGTACAAGACGAGTGTTTATAAAATAGAAGTAATTTTTTACTAATTATATTCAATATGAACTATCATAATTTTTATTGTTAATTAATATTTGTAATTTACAGATTACAAATTTTACAAGTATTGTAGTATTAGAAATAACCAGGTAGTCAGATTAAAGATCCGATATTTTAAAATATTTTTTTGTTTATTATATACACACCCATGAAAGTAAAAATGTGTTTTCCATAATTCAAGCTAGGATAGAATACCATTTTTTCAGTCTAAATATTTTTATAAACAGCGTTATTAGATAAAAATGAATTTGGGGATGCCCGTAATTGTCACAATTAAGCTTGATCGTTTTAATTAATGATAATAGATTGTTATTATCATGATGACAACATATCATACAGATTGGTATCCAAATATTTTCCAAATATTATATTTACTCGTATTTGTTGAATACTTTACCTTTTTCTCAAGTACTCAAATTTTGAACTTGACTCGAAATCAAAAAAACAATACTCGCCCAACTCTTCTTATAACTAATAAATTAACTATCATTCTCTGGAGAGTTCTAACAACGGATAGTCTCCCTCATCAAGTCATTCTGCTACTGTTAATATTATTATGGTACCAAGTCCTTATATTTACTTTTAGTTTTTTTCTAATACAGATTGTAAGTTTTTTACCATAAAAAATAAAATATCGTTACACACATACACCAGTACACCAAAAACGTATAATAAATTCATAAAATTATATATTTATGCGTAGGTATCATTTACTATCATCGAATATATACTCTATATAACACTCTACAAGTAGTAGTGATCAACATTTATTAATTCGCCGTGATGTATTAATTTAAAATTCTCCTGTCCAAAGTCCTAGCGACTTATCAGTGGACAAATAAATCATTAGGTTAGCAACTACAAGTTTAAAATTAATAAATAATAATAACTAATTCTCATTATATTCATATCATTAATTTCTATTTGTTAATATTCACCAATAACATTGAATCACATTTTTTGTGTCCACAATTCAAATTATATTCATTGTGGACGTAAAATAAAATAATAAATAAAATCATAAGTAGATATCTAGAGTTATTCTTACAAATATTTATTTCACATAAATGATTTTTTATAGCAATCAAATACAATACAAATACATATATTAGTAATTTAGATAATATTATATAATTATATAAATAATTCTAAATTTAATATTGGTTAACTTGGTTACATAAATAGTTACATATTTGACTTGACATGAGATCACTATAAATTATACAGTAAAATGTTGAGTTAGTTGCGGTTGAATCATAATATTTACTATGAATATTGAATATTGTCAATAGTACAAACTGTATAAAAATAATGTATAATTATAACTTTTGATTGTCGCTATAATTCTAATGAAGTATAGATATACTCTCAATGATTTTGTTAATCAAATTTATTTAACATTTTAATATTTTTAAGGCTAATCACATAGTAAGAGACAATTGTTGTATAATAAGACTAATATACCAGTTATGGTACAGTTTAAGTTAAATATAGGCTGAGCCGGACTAGGCAGGCAGGACATCGGGAGTTTCCCGGTGGGTCATTTGAATCGTTGGAAAGTTTTTTTTTTTTAAGTTTATTGGTTTAGGCTCATTTTGTCAACAGACATAGACACAATTTCTAATGTGATTACATTAGACACGGTCTAAAATTAAATTCAAGACATTTTAATTTTTAAAAATAATATAATAATAACATTAAGTATTCAAATTCTCAAAATAATATACAATCATTTTATAAAAAAATATATGCGTTTTTCAAGGTTCTTTTTATATCTTAGGTATATTTAAGTGGGCTGATTTTTTTTTTCTGATATAACTTTCTGTCCCAGTCCTGCCCTGAATATAGGTATAATTAAAATATGGAAACATAATACAAAATAATAAAGTTATATAAATATAAATATATAATAAATAATATAATTATAAATATATGTTTATTAAGTGAATATTATATTTAATATCTGTGTTGTTCTTTTTTTAATAAACTAATGATTTTTCAAATTATATCAAACCTAGAGTAATATACTTAACATAATGTTCTCATTAACAACATATATTGTACTTAATAAATATAGTCAATTAAGTAAATAGTTTTACCAATAGGAATATCAATATTAATTTGTGAACAAATGCATTTTTTTTCTTAGCACTTAAACTATTATTTTAGTTGAGATCAGCGGCGTAGCCAGGGGGAGGTTGATTAATTTTTTCAAGACTTTTGTAGCGACTTTTATGGATCATTAAAATCATTTTTAAATGTTATTAATATTTCAAAAGGGGGAGGGGGTGCAGCCCCCTAGCCCCACCCCTGGCTACGCCACTGGTTGAGATGCTATGTGATCATTTGAATGATATTTTCTTTTGTTAATATTGCAACTGTACAAAGATTAAATTGTATAAAATATTATTACAACATCATTATGTTAATAGAATAATATATTAAATAACAGGACATGGCAAATTAATTTAAATGGAATGATTTTTTTATTATTTACTGAAATATTTTAAATATATGTATGTAGGAACCCAGATATTTCATATATATGAATAATAATGTCAGTTAAAAAAAAATATTATATCTTCATTGTGTAACTTAAGTATTGTAATAAGTTTAATGTTTAATTCTATAAGAATATTATTTTAAACTTATGAATATTCAACTATGTAATAATGCCAAATTGTTTATGATTTTATAATATTGATTTGGAAGTATAACTAATAAATTCAATTAGTTTGAATATTAATGTCAAAATTTATGTCTTATACATTAACATCTTTATAAAAATCTAAATAAACTAAGATTTTTAAAAATATTTTTTTATACATTTTTACCTAAAACTGTGTTTTGAGTGATAATGCAACAAACTTTAAAGATTTTCCAATAAAGTGCAATTACACATTTCAGGGAACCAAAATAATTATAATTTTATTATAAGAACTTTATAATTTTTTTTTTATAAACACAAGTAAAATAAATTTTATTCTTGCAAATTTAAGTTCATTCTATGTATTTTAAATTAAAATTAAGTTAATAACTCATTAATATAATGCACATTTAAATTGCTTTAAAATATAAAATTAATAAAAAATCAACAGAAACAATCAGATAAAAATAAATTGTCACAGCCATATTTTTTCCTCATTATTTTTCTTAACAATAATTTACTAAATCAAAATGTAATATTTTTATTTATAAATATTTTAATTGTGGGAGGCACGAGTTCCATTCATATAACTTATCCACCTTTTAGCTGTAGTATGTATAACTGTTGCATTGTCCAGAGTTTCCAACAACAAAAGCTGATTAATATGTGTAGCGTGGTAATCCCACCGAGCAATATTTGGAGCTATGTCAAGTGTTACGTGTCTAAGATCATATGCTGATCTTGAACCCATATCATATAATGGTAACATCTTTTTCAAAGATGTCATGCCTTGTTTCCATAGCAAATAAGCTTCTTGCGAAACCTTGAAAATGTTTCAACAATTATTATAGGTCCTATACCATTATTGATAATTTTTAATAGTGTTTATTTCTAAAATATTGCATAAAACCAATAAAATTAATAGTTTTATATTACCTGTGAATTGTTTGGAGCTAATGAAAACAAATCATATAATCCAATTAAAGAATACATAAAACCATTTAAAATAAAAATTGGTGGAACTGTTGGATATTCTTCATACCATGGATAAAGGTTCATAAATTCAGATAAGACACCACCATTTTTACTGAGGATCTTAAATGGTTTTAAAGCAGCATGTGCTGTTTTTAAATATAATTCATTTCCTCCGGAATGGAAAAATGCTCTTGAAAGCAATGAGATTGCTTGTCCTTGGCCCATGGCTGATAACCTAAAGAATAAATTAAAAACTTTGAGTTAAATTTAGACACATTTTTATAATTTATTAATGATTCAAAATTAAATAATACATAACTTATAAAATGTAATATAAGAATTATAAAAATGAATTTAATGTAAATTTATAATACGAATAAATATTTGTATTTAATCAACAAGCACATAATACGATCTTACCATCCTGGCTTTAATGGTTTAATAACAGGAGATATTTTACGGGTAACAGGATTACGCCAGCCTCCTGATTCTTTATCTTGATGCTTAATGAACCAATGCACTGCGGAATAAAATTGACTAATGTGATCACTTGAACTGAGTGTTAAGTTGTCTAGGTATCCCACTCCATATAATTTAAAATCACATAACTACAAAAAAAATAATGAATAATAAACATTCAGACTAAATATTTTTATTAATAATACAATTTTAGATTGGGGAGCCAAAATACTAATTTCAAAAAATTGAGCATATAATTATTTTAAAAATTAGATGTTGAACATAATTTGTATAAAAGAAAGGATATTTTAGCAATATTTCAATGGTTTTCTATAAAATAATAATAATATATAATTATATCATAATATTTACCTTATATTTTGATCGAAACATCTTTGTTGTTGTTTTTTTTAATACATGTAAGCCTTTTTGTAAATCAATTAATAAATTTCTTGCTAATTTTTTCCATTTAAAATTATCATTGCAGTGCATTCCATGATATATATTATGACCCTACATACAATAATAGTTGTAATGTAGTTAATGTAATGCAGTGTAGTAAGAATAGTAAGGATAGTAGATAGTAAGAATAGTAGTAGAATACTAAGGATACATATAACCCTCACAAATTATAATAAACTTGAAAAAAATTAAAACAATGCATAATTAAATTTTACTTTTGCAGTTATAAGTGACCGTGAACATGTGTAATGGAGTTTCCATATTTCTTCTGGGTCCTTTATTTCTTTTAAAATAATAACAACACTACTACTTTTTGATAAAGATAAAGCTATATCAAAACTAATAAAGAAATCTTCTTTGTTATCAATTTTTAATGAGATTCCTCCATCTAAATAAAATAATAATTTATAAAATATAATTAGTACATATATAAACTTATTAAAATTTAAGTAATTTTTCGTTGATTAACATATATTCATTAATTTTACCTGAACTAAAAAAATCTATAACATTGCTATTGACTTGAGTGTTGAATACAATTTGAATCTTTGATGCATCAGTAACTTTCCAATGAGGATTTAACTGACCGCTTTCTAAGACTCTTACTTTTGGTGATGGTAAAGTAAGATATTTACTATAATGAGATAACCCAAACTGGGCTATTTGTGTAGGGTAATAATAACCATGTGGATTCCATTGATTTGAAACTGGGACTCCTAATATAATAAAATATCATATTTGTTATAAAAATAACATAAAAGAAAATTTAATGAATTTTTTTTTATACACTAAAGCCATATTATAATAAATACATAACAAATATTTAATGCATAACATACATTTAATCACAATTAAATAATTTATCAGTTCCGTAAAGTTGAATTTTAATATTTATAAATTTATAATGAATATTAACTGCAATCTAACCTTCAGATGCACTAACACACTTCACACGATCTCTTTCTTCTACTTTGTAATTTTGAAAGTTTGTAAATACACCTTTTGAATTATACTTTCCATTTTGATGATAAATTTTAGAATAGCTATGTGACCAATGAAATGATTTTTTATTGTCAATTTCAATAATTTTCCCATAAATCTAAATAAAAATTAATATAATACATTTTTTTTATACAAATAAATAATATAAAACAAACCTCAAAATAATTTTTTAAAAATGAAAAAGGAATATAAACTATGCTATTTTTTAAAAGGCAATCCACTTTATTGTTATTTCCATTAATAAAACAATCTATTGGTATAACATCTTGAACATTTTGAAGTAAAGCCTGAAAATAATAAAACCCATCGTAAAATATATGTTCACTTATCTATCAATAAATTTAACACCAAACCTAATAATTTTATTTATAATAATATTTATAATTTTATAATACATTAATACTTATACTTTACCTGTGTACCTATTCTATTTATACAATTCCCATACTAAATTTAATTTGAACAATCAATATTGTTTCATAATAGTTTTTACAAAAAATATTGAATTAAATAATTTTTCTTTAATTCTAGAAATGTTTAAAAACTGTCATTTACGGAGAATTTTCTTACATCTAATATATTTTTTTTATACAAATATTTGTATATATATATATATATATATATATATATATATGCTTGAAAAATATTTTTTTCGTGATAAAATAAATATAAAATAACAATTTATTTATTAAAATTTTTTCTACACACTAACTTACTAAATATTTTTATAAATATACAAACAACTTTACTTCAAAAACAATTATTTATTACTTACTTCGAAGTTTGGTTTTTCATTGTTCGATAATGTACTGAAATTTGAATTTGAGCAATTTGACCAAAATGTCACCATACATACTAAAATTAAAGTTGAAAAAACCAAAAAAAATGTTCTTACATTTAATCTCATTTTGGTTTAATAATCATTGGACATGTATGTAATGTAATACTGAAAATAAATAAATATATGTTATTTAAGAATTGAAGCGTTTGGCCGAACAACAGGACATGTGCCCAGGGGTACCATTTTACAAAAGAAGCATTTAAAATATTACGTAACATGTATCACATTGTTCTATGAATCAAGTTTATTCCTTAAGTCTATTCTTAAATTAAATTTCAATGTGATAGGTATCATATAGGGAGATAGACCACTTTCAGAAGAAAATAAAAAGGGTTGAAATACATGAATTACTAGCTACAAAAGTACAGAAAAAATGAACATTAATTTATATTATGTGGTTGTAATAATTGTATAAAAATAAATTATTTGTATATGCATTATTATAGGTGTTATATTGTATTATTAAATGTATTTTTTTGTAATATTATAAAATCACTTATTTTTTAGAAAAATTTTAAATCCTTTAAAACAAAGAAATTTTAAAATAAGCCATTGGGTATTACATTCATTAAATTATATGTATATCACGATATTCCATTGAAAAATGCAACATTGCCAAAACTGGCGCTTATCCTGTTGTTCGGCCAAACTCTACAATTACAGATTTATATTGAAAATCTAAATCGTACTAAAAATGTAAAGCATTATATAACATTATTATTAATTAATGAATGTTTAACCACATATTAATTTACTGTCACTTTAATTTTTATAGTTTATAATTTATTACAATGAAATGTATAACTGTACCTATATAATCAAAAATAATTTAAAATAATTCACCAAAAGTAATATACAGAAATATGTTAGTATGTATAATAATTATACACAATACAATAATAGTGAAATGATAAATTTTTATCTTATCATAACAATGCCAATACCTTTTGTTTAGTCCCATTATCATACAAATATTTCTGACAGTCGTATATTTGCATTTACTACAAGAAGTTATAATTAAAAAATTATTCAATTGGTTAATTGAATAAAAATTTATTCTTTATTCATTTATTTTTCATTTTATTATTATAGATTATTTTTATTCATTATTCAACAAGTTATTCTAGATTTTTTTTATTCATTATTCATTATTCTTCATAGTTGTTTTTATCTCAAATGATTCTTTGATAATTTAAAATTCTAATTTTATTGAAAATTGAAACCGGTATTTTTTTTAAATTTTTTTATTGTTATATTATATTATATTATACTATTGAAAATATCAAAACCAAAAATTATAAATAATATTTTTATCTTTGAGTGGCTAATCTAACTGGTTTAGCCTAAGATCATATAGTATATGATCTAAGGATATAGTACTTGATATAGACATGTTAATTACTCATACATAGGATTTTACTGATTTAAAAACATTTTTGTAATTAATTTAAAATAAAGTCTGACATAATTTGATTTAGCCATATAATAGGTGCTGAAATTTTATTTTGTATAGTATTTACTATAATTATTTTTGTCATGTTTATTATATTTTTATCTTAATTTTGTTACATGAAAATTATTCACTATTTATTTCATTTATTTACTCAGAATAATCAATTTATTTACAAGTTGTATTATTATTCAGAATGATTTTTATTTTTTATTCTCAATTAAAACAATTCAAAATAAAATTTAATTCTTAATTCACAAAATAATTAGTTATTCATGATTTTCTTTTTTATTCATCATTTTGATTTATTTTTACCACTACTCTGTTGTGTATGTACATTAAAGTTATATTTTTAATTACTACAAAAGTATAAAATGTCCAAAAATAAAAAATTTAGAAAATATTTTATCGAATATTTAAAATTTGGTGTGATTTTATCTCAAACACAAAAAATTACCCTTGTACCTTATTTGTGAAAAAATATTCAGATAAAACTAAAATGTTTTATATTTTCAAGACTTAAAGAATAAATTTTAAAAACAAAAAAACAGTAAGTGGAGATAAAATAAATTTAAATCACAAAAAAGGCCTAACTGCATCTATTTTTCTTTTTATAGAAAGTCTCTTTTAACAGCAAAATGTAGAAAATCACACACTATTGCTGAAACACTTATTTTACCTGCTGTGGAAGAAATATTAACTTCAATGGTAAGCTTAAATTTTATCTTATCATCCCAGAAAATCGATGAAATAGCATATAATGTTGAAATAAAATTATGTGATATTTTAAAAATTACAAAATTTTCACCACAACTTGACAATTACACTTTAAAATAAAATAATGTTTTGTTACTTGTATACATATGTTATGATAGCATCGACAGAAAAATAATGGAAGAACTATTATTTACAAAATAATTAATTATGGATACCAAAAGGTTAACAATATTTAAAGTAATAGACAATGTTTTTGTAGAAAAGGTATTTCTGTTAAAATTGTATAGATTATATGATCAACGGAACATCTACAATGATTGACTGTCAACGTGGTTTTATTTCTCATTTAAAAAATGCAGTCTGCAGAGTTTTAACAATTCATAGTGTTATTCATTATCAATATTTAGTAGCCAAAAATAAATGTAGTAAATTACATGATTCTATGCAGTTTTTTATCGATACTATTAATAAAATCAAAGCTAAATTATTGAGTTATTGCTTGTTTCAACAATTATGCAATAACAATTATGAAAACTTTGAAGCCTTCTTTTACACACCAAAGTTAGGTGGCTTTCAAAAATAAATTGTTTGATAAACTTTTATAATTTATTTAAAACTGTACAAAAATGTCTACATTCACTTGATAAATAATTCTACGATGAATTAAAAAAGAAAAACGGATAGCCCATATCTATCAGATGTTTTTAAAAACTTAATGAAGTTAACAAAAATGTGCAAGGTGATAATATCTATTTTATTAAATCTAAGTCTATTATTAGTACATTAATTTTAAAATGAAGTCTTTTTAAAGAAAAATTAATCATCGAGAACTTTATCATTTTTTAAAATTATCAAGCTTAAAATAATTTTTAGATTCTAATACTACTAATAGAAATATACTATGCTCATCTTGAGTCCTTTAAATGTAATATACCCATGTTTAGGAGATATAAAAAATATCCAACCATAAATACAAAAAAAATTACTCAAAAGGAAGCACATTGAAGAAGCTTAAGTCGATTTTAATTATAATGAATATGATTTATTTTAGATCAAATAAAAAACTACACCCTCAACTTTAGAAAGAAGTGCAATTATTAAATAAGACTTTTCAGTCAACTTATGTAGACGAAAAAGGTTTTATCACAGTTCAACAACCACTAACTAAATCAAGAAGTCATTTATGAATGTCTAAAAGATTTAAGACTAATGCTGACATCCATTAAGCCATATATTATTTCATTAACAAAAAATCATTTATCTAAAAGCAGCCACTAGTCATAAAGTAAGTCACTAAGTAATCTTTCAGATTGTTTGGTTTTTTCTGTTTTAGCTCACTGATTTTACTGAAACTTGTTCCCATAAGTCAGGAGTGGCATATCTATGGCACGGGTGCCAAAAATAGCACGTTGACCAAATTTTAATGGCACGCGCAAAAAATTGAAATTATTAAAAATTGTGAAAAAAAAAAAATATACTATTTATAAAATGTTGATTGTAAGAAATTAAAATAAACAAATTGTATACTTTTTAAAAATGACAATATTCCTTATGCTTTCATATTTTTCGTCAACTTATGTTTGTGAAAGCTTATTTGCCATAACAAATTTAATTAAATCGAAGAGAAGAAACGTTTTGACCAATGAAACCATTTCTGCTTGTGTTTCTACTAATAATGACTAAAATTTGTTAAAAACAATGTAATAAATCTGTAATTTTGTATATAGTCTTAGAAAATATAATTTTCTTCGGACACGTGAACGATTTTCAAAAACTAAAAAAGAAAAATTTGGCATTTGAACTAAAAAAGGTTCACCATCCCTGCCATAAGTCATCAAATCCAATATTTCTTAGTTGTTAAATAGATATGATAATGTTTTCGATTTTTAATTGTGCTTGAATACACGTTATATATATCCAATATTCTAATGGGTGCCCAGCCCAGTCCCCGGGCACCCATGTATATGGCGCATATGTATGTATATATATATATCTTGCTCGTTATCGAACGTAATTACCTGTACGATTTGTTTTGTTGTCTGACGACAACGGCGATGGGCGGCGGTAACGGCGACGGCCTTAATTGAAACATTACCGAGTTGGTCGGTCAACCGGCAAAAGAGAATCGTTTCGCTGCGAAACACCGACCGATGTTATTACCGACGGTGTAGTCATTATTATTATCGTTATCGTCGACCAGGACGCTGTCGAAGTTATGCAATCATAAGACTATCAATCTGTTCATGAGATGTTGCACGACGGGTACGAGTCGTGTGGATGATGGTCGATGGTGAACGGATCAAGGGAAACGTAGTGGAGCTGATCGAAGAAGAAAACCGCGATGAGAATTACTTAACGATAAATTTTGATTACTATTGTGTTGCGTGCTTCACGGTGATAACGAGGTAAGACGTATGGACTGATAACGGACAGATAACGGCTGTTACGACGTCCGTCGGGAGGCTGAACCGTCCGGATGTTATATTTTTTGCTATGCTTAAACTTTATAGCACTAAAGAATTACTAAAATGAGCGCTGTGTTATGATCTATAAACTCTTAAATTAAACGCTATGATAGGCTCTGAAAACAAATAATTTATAATTAATTTAAATGTAAAAACATTTATTGAAAAAAATGTGGATCAATCGATCAGTAAATATTTCTAAAGATAGTAAAGTAGAAAAACCAAATTTCTAAATAGCGTATGTTGAACTTTTAATGTTCCAGCTTTTATTTATTTATTATATATATCAGTCGCGTAGGCCCAATAACAAAATATAATGCAATACCTATTTAAATTATAATACTTAAGACTAAATGACAAGTTGAACATAAAAAAAATAATTAAAAAATAACATACGAGATTATTAAAATCACTACCTATGTAGGTAACAAGGAAAATAACAATAAAAATAGTTACAAAAAAATATAAAATAAAAAATAGAAATTATTTAACAATAATATAAAATTTATGAAAAAAAATCAAAATGAGTAAAAACAGAGTTACCATTAAGCCACAGTCCTATAGATCAGGGGTTTAAAATACTGTGTCCCCTGAATGATAAATGTGTTTTATAACGTGTTTTTAGTTTTGATCAGTTGGAAAAAAAAATGTTTTTAAAAAAAAACAAATTTGTATTGTTGTTTTTTGAACCGTTTAAAACAGTAATAGGTAAAAACTTTAAAACAATTTAAAATATATTTAATATTTGATGTCGAAAAAAATCAATGTAGGCAATTAAAAATTTAAATTGACTTAATAATAAACATATTATAACTTACGGCTATTCAGCTCATTTATTAAATTTATTCATACATGACCTAAAAGCTGTAGGTGTAAGGAGTCATATAAAATTAATCTTTAAATATTTTAAAAAAACACATTTCTTTTCTGCCAAATACAAACTTGAAGGAGAGAAGTCTCTAATTCTTCCTCAAGGTGGAATACTTTTTCAGACACGATTCAGTGTTATTTGTATAAAGTCTGTAATGAGAATCGGACTGCATGCAATACTATATACCTATTCTGAGGTTAAAGATACAGAAATGAAAACAATTGCTAAAGAATATCTTGTGAAATTAAAAAAAAATAAGTATAACATTAGACTAAGTTCAGGCAGATAAATGTACTTTAAGTGAAGCAACTCATTTATGGTTAGAATTAAAACAGTTTTTTGAACTTGAAGTTTGCAATAATTCAATGACTAAAAAAATTGAAAAAAGATTTGATACGGCAGTGATAGAATACCATTTACTAATTAATTTATATTTTGGACCCTAAATATAGAGGGGAAAAAAATTAATTCTGATCAAATGGATTCCACTTTAAATTTTATAAATTCATATCATCAAGAAATTATGTTAGAAATAATAATATATCAAGCTGAAGCATATCCTTTTAGAAATGATATTTTTAAAGAACAATCAGTTAAGTTAAACCTTCAACTTGGTGGTTATCATAAAAAAAAATATTTCTTCAGAAATGCTATCACTAGTAACAAAATTATTTACTGCTAGTGCTTCTTCAGTTGTAGTTGAACGCATATTTATTTCGTATGGTCTTGTTCATTCAAAATTAAGAAACAGGTTAGGAATTGAAAAATCTTCAAAATTAGTTTCCATTTTTAAATCACTAACAAAGATATCACTTATGATTAAATAATAATTATTAATATGTTAAATAAGTATACTATGTTATTTATATATAAATATATGTATTATATACCCATGATCAAGTTTATAATAATTTTGATTTCGTTGATTAAGTAATAAAAGTTATTATAAAAGTTATTATACAAATTATATATAAAAGTTAAAGTAAATAAAGTTTTTTATATAATTTTCAAAGACTGAAAACTGAAAAGCAATAATTTATGTTATTTACTAAATAGTTAATTTTTAATTTAGTTTTTTTTTTATTTACAATTTTTTATAATTAAGTTGGTAAAAATATACACTATAAAATGGTTATTACAAATTTTAATTTATAATACCTTTTTGGACATTTTAAAGATTTATTTTTTCCTTTTCTGCTAGAAATTTCTTGAAAAAATAAACATCAGGTTGTTTCACTGATCGAATAAAATCATTAAATATAAATGAATTCGAATTTCGAATTACGAATATAATATGTGGACCGAATAAAATATACATTTTTAATAAAATTAAAATTCTGCTATAATTTTTTTTTTTTTTTTTTAAGCACTAGTTTTTATTTTGTTTTATTCGATTGATTTAAACATGAATATAAACTATAATATATATAACATATATATAATACCAAAAGAACGGATTGCAGTTTGTTTGAGGTAATTACAGATATAAATATTATTGAATATAATACAAACTGATTTATTTTTAACATAAAAAAAATATATATATATTAAAGTTTACAATATTAATATTTATTAAATAATTTTAAAAATGTTCAATTACATTAATTTAATTATATTTTTAAAAATATGCAGTAAAGTTTTGGTTTTGATTGCTTTATAAATCAATGAAAGGTGAAGTTTCTGGAGTAGAAGGATCGTTCGATGAAGAAAGGGCTGCAGAGGAGGATTGTTCAGAGCACAATTGAGTATAATACGTTGAAATAGGAAGTTGCTCCACAAATTGTTCCTGGTCCATAATTACTTTTAGCTCATAGTTTTGAACGGAAGCAAATATCTCAGATTTAGCGTAATGCCAGTAGCATGGTGTTAATTTTTTCAAAACTGGAGCTATACTAGATAAAAATGCATCGACAGGGTGTTGTGGTTCACAGTTTCGAGAATATTCTTCATTTGTAACTTTGTCATCAATGCTTGACATTGTGCCTCTCTTATCAAAGAATTTCGTAATAAAACTCAACTGTTTGTACTTCTTTAATATTTTTGCCTTTTTATCACTCACAGTTTGATTTTTTTTCACATATCTTCTGTAGCTGTCTTTTATACTTGCCCACCTAGTTTTAGCCGAAGGCCCTGACAAAAATAAAATGCTACATATAAAACATTTACATTCGCATAATTTATTCACCTAACATATACCTAATATTATGTACAATATTAGAAAATTAAAATTAAAACTATTGCTGAAAAACTCATTATCGTACACCTACATTATATTATAATAATAAACAGTTAAATATTTATAAAATTAAAATAGTAGTTATACGTTTTACAAAAAAGTTAAAATTGTGAATTTTTAAACATTTTAATTTAAATTTAAATAAATTAAATATATCAAAATTTTAATTTATGTTTTCAAATATTTGAATTGTTCATTTCTATTGTCATTTGTTATAGATATTTATTATTTGGTCACGGGTGATTCACTTAAAACAATTTCGTTTAGCTATCGCATGAGGCAGGGATGGGCAACTCAAAGTTACTAGAGGGCCAATTTTTAGAAAATTAAAATCTAGCGGGCCAGAGCATAGAAAAAAAAAGTCATTCAAAATATGAATTTTAATTAGCATTTATTTATATATACACGAAAATAATAAATTTAACACACACGACAGCACGATACGAATGATACGAAGAAACTGATATAGTTAAATAGTTCCGTACGAACAGCTATATTTATAGCTATAACTATAGTTGTATTGCATATGTTATTTAAACATTTAACGATGTTTAATACTAAATAACAATTATTATTTTGATGTCAGAGTATCGACGATAAACTTTAAAATTGTATAATATAATTTTAAAATATAGTACGGGTCAGATAAAATAAGCTCATGGGCCGGATGCGGCCCATATTGTATTTTGTATATTGTATATTGTATTTAATTGTAAGATTTTGATAAAAACCTAGTGTAAACGTGATATAAACAGTTCTACGACCATTTAATCCAGGAATAAAGGAGACTTTTATGGAAAATTATTATTATTGGATGGTGGGCCAGTCATATGGTAATTTCCCGGGCCGAAATGTTTACCTAATCCGCCGCTGCCTACACCGACCGAAAAAATATGGAAAAACATTGCTAATGATTTTTTCGTATTTGGAATTATCCGGGATGTATATGAGCTCTGGATGGAAAACACGTCACTATTCAAGCTCCTCCAAATACAGGAACAATGTTTTTTTCATTATAAAAAGACATTCTCTATAGTTTTGTTGGCTCTTATGGATGCTCATTGTAATTTTATTGCTGTTGATGTAGGGACATATGGCAAGAACAGTGATGGGTGAGTTTTTGCGAATTCAAATTTAGGCAAAGCACTTCATCGTAGGTTATTGAATATTTCAGCTAATTCTACCATACCCAACACAGATATACAAATCCTATATATAATTGTAGCATTTTTGAGGCATTTCCTTTAAAACCTTACTTGATGCGACCTTATCCAGAGGATAAATTAGATAATCGGAAGCGCAACTTTAATTACCATTTGAGTAGTGCCAAGAGGACACTAGAAAATACATTCGGTATACTTGCACAAACATTTAGAATCTACAATAGGTGAATTCAGGCATTTCCAAAACATGTGGATTACCTGATTTTGGCCACTTGTTTACTATATAATTTCATTAAAAAGTGCGATTCATATATGTACAATTACGTAACTCAACTAGTGGATTTTACAAGTAACGGTCATACACTACAATTTTTAAATTTACAAGGAGGGAATGCGACGCAGACGCATTTCGTGTAAGGGAAATAATCAATGAATACTTTGATTCTGAGGTTAGGTCTTTACCATGGACATAAAATACTTAAATTTAAGTTAATATCATATGAATTAAACGGACGATTTCATAATATTACTCGTATTAATATAAATATATGTTATAACCTAAGACCATATTCTATTTATATTCAGTATTAATAATAATAATAACATAATTAATATAATTGATGTACTTCTTATAATATAATATGTATATAAACATGATATTATGTACATATATTATTATATAAATAATAATGTATTTCTTACCAGTTGTTTCCATTTCTTTTGCTATTTTACTCCAAATAGTACTTTTGTAATTTCTGTCGTTGTATTTTTCATGAGATGAATCATACAATACGGGATACTCCCGCACTAATGTTATAAGTTTATCGTCGTTCATTTTTTTTAAAAAACTGAGAGAATCAATGAAATACAACAAAAATCACGGACGGGAAATATGAAAATTATCGTCGGCACGTAATCGTGAATTCACAGTACAATGACGGCGATAATACTGTTTGCGTGGATATGATCATGCACCGGACGAGTGAGAACATATGCTTATATTATAAGATTATAATATTTTTAACTTCGCCGAGGAAATCCCGAAATAGTCACGGCACTGTCACGTTATTGTTGTGTATAAATAGACCTTATCTATCCAATCAGTGTTTTTCATTTTAAGTTTCATGTTATTATTCATTTCATATTAGGTACTGTAGTTACTACAGTGTAGTAAAACATTTTGAACTTTTACTTGTATTTATTTTATGTATTTATAGTACCATTATCATATAAATAATATTGATGTGTAAAGTACGTGTTATATAAAAGAGAGGGGATTTTGGATGGTACAACCTCCACATGTGTTTTTTGCTATAGAAATCTGTCTAAGACCAAAAGCCTTTTGGTCTTCGACAGATTTCTAGATTTTCCTTTTGGCAAAAGGGGTTGCAGTGTTTACCACGAACATTAAAAGTTACGACGTCGAATTTTTACTATCAATATTTATCATGCAGTTATTACGAAAATTAGATGCTTCGAATAAACACATTCCGTGATTCAATTTTACTTCGAATTTATAAAATAATTAAGAGAGCTTTCGGATGAGACACTTTGTGGCCGGCTACTAGAATTAAGATTTAAGAGACACAAAAAGTGTCCCATAATAAAGGACCTTTCACACGAGACACTAATCGTCAGGGTTGCCAACTATCCAGTTAAGAAAATCGGGATTTTTTTCAATATAACGACACATTTTTCAAGTTTTAATATATTATTAAGGCAATCATTTCTGGAATAACATATTATAATATAAGATATAAGTGCATAATACAGATATATTTGCTCTCTATACTAACATGATTTAAAATAACGGTTCTCAAACTTTTACAATCACGCAACCCTTTAAAAATAGTTTGTTTCGTGGAACCCTAATGTCTTTAATTTCAATTCATACTCTAATTTTTTTTTTTTTTAAAAAAAACCAATACCTACTTTGTGAAATGTTTTTAATGATACTATTAATATTGTTAATGATTACTCTTTATTAAAATTAGTTTAAAACACAATATTTATTAAAATAACAAACATTTATTATTTAATTATTACAAATAATTTGTAGAGATATTATTCTAGTAACTATTATTAAAAAATTCACAATTATTAACCTTATATTTTATACATAAATTAATTAACTAATCATGTTAAATTTCTAATATGAGTAGGTACCATAGAAGATCTAAAGTGGTGGATTTCTGCCAATTGTTGTTCGAATTATACTATAGAAGTTCTCAATATAATTATTGATTCTGATATTAACACTATATATAGAGAAGCCATGTGGCCCATTGGTATATATCCAATAATTCTGGAAGTAATGAAAAATGTCTGAGATATTTTCAGCTACATTCATGTCCCTGGCTAATCTCTGTACTTCCAATAACCCACCAAAAATAAAATTTTCGGGGTATTCTTCAATTCTTTCTGGTGGCAGATGTGGCAATGCCATGAGCTAGAGGTAATAAAATAATTTTTATTATAGGACAATGAGAAATTTTCCAAATTTCTCAATTAACATTACCATTCTAATTACAGTTGCTATGTGCTGGTTGTTGCGTACTAATACCATCAATTTGTGTGTTTGAATAAATCACACTATGCACTACAAATAAAAAAAAATATTTAATGATTATAGTTTAGAATACACATCATACTTAATTTTTAATATAATCAAGAATTAGAACAAACACAACTTCTGCTAATGTTAAAAGTTTAACTCAGTGATTTAGTTAAAATACAATGATCTTGTAAATAAAAAATTAATTTAAACTGTAACAGTTCAAATATAACTGGTACTATTATTAGGGTTCCAATGTCAATGCATTTGCATCTTTACTTTGGAATGTTTGACACAATGCTTTCCTGTATACAAAGATGCTTTGTGTTCAGTATGTTCAGTATAACTAACAATAACAGTACCTATTGTAACAAACTTGTTTTTTTTTGACTCAAGATTAAAACATAAACATATCTATAATATATTATATTCTTTTAATTTTGTATTATATAGTAATATATATTACTAACATCAGGTAAACTTATTTTAAATAAAACGATTCTCAAATTTAACTGATAACCTCGTTTGTACCTTGTGCATCTTAACTATTTAAAAATTAGTACATATTACACTAATTAATTCAGAATAAAAAAAAAAAAAAAAAATGAGTTAGATACAAATAATTTACAAAACTGTATTACTAACCATCTATTGGTAGAAGTATTGATTTGGATGTATATATAACCATTAGGAGCCATATACACTAAATTTCCTCGAATACCTGGCACTCTTCTTGACGGATTATTCTCATCGTCTCTCATAATATCTAAAATATTAGCAGCTAATGGAGATATACATCGAGATCTTTGTTCACTATGAATGAATAAAATAACATTCTAAAATGACTTAATATTAGGAGTTAGTTTTGTCACTTAAAAATGTTAATTGTTTTTTTATCATAGTTATATTATGTTAATTATTTAATTGTCGAGCTGTAATAGTTCTGTACTAAAAGCTAATAAAAAAAAAACATTCTAAATTTATAAAAAATGAACTGATACTTTTTAGTAATAAAATCGAATAATTTTATTTTTTCTATTTTATTTTATTTATTAGCATAAACGCCCACGTGGGCTCAAATACAGTAGAAAATATCTTTTATCTAACACTGATATAACATAAAATCATTAAGACATAATACAATATGATTTACAAACAACAATTGGTAAATTAAATTTAGATAGAATAAATGAAAAATTATAAATATAAAGAACTTATATGATAATAGATATATTATTTATGAAAAATATTTTTAGTGACAATTTAGGTATTCTCACTGTTAAATTTATATTTTTAAATTTTTTAAACCAGTCAACATTAATTTTCTAACTACTTGATCACAAAGGCGTTTGCAAGAATTTGTCAAAGGAGGTAGAGGGCAAAATATTTTCCTTTTTAAATTTTTTGTTTCATTAGGTATGCAATTAGTGATAAAGTATTATTTGTGAACGTTTTATTTTTCATTTAGGTAGAGAGTCTAAAAATTATTTATGAATTATATGTAGATAGTTAGCTAAAACTTAATCTTATAGAATTCATTTTAATTAATTGTTATGTAATTTTAAATTAGCAAATGCATTTTTTTAACAAATAAAATGTTACCGTTGATTTGTTATTTTAAATAATTTATAAAATTAAGGGCCTTATTCATAGTCGATACTTGAAACTTGAGAATAAGTATTGCTTAAGCTAATTTTGTTGTTTAAAAAATAAAAATAAATAATAACTTAAAGTAATGTTTAATGTAGGTCTTGACGAACCTTAATTTAGGTTATACTTTTTCTTTTCTTCTGCTAAAGTATTGTTTATGAATCTTATTAAGTCGTTTTTTAATGTTTTAAGGTCATCAACTTCCGAGCAATAGGTATTATTCTTAATCATTCATCGACTACGAATACGGCTCTAAGCCTTGAATATTCCATATAAGCGCCAAAATGAGATAAGAAAAAAAAATCGTATCGTACAAAAGCGCCAAAATCGTATCGTACGAAAGCACCAAAATCCTAGATATCTGTAAATTAAATAAAAGATATTACATTTAGAACTATATCGTTCAAAAACTTCAAACGCTTAATCTTAGTTGACAAATGTATTATATGATTATGATAGATTGTCACATAGACAGTGTGTGAGCAAGTTTTGTGTTATAACATATTGTTAGTACCTATTTCGTTATATCATTATAATATTATACTTTATATTGATGTGCGTGTATATTATAATTTACTATCGACATTTTTTTATAAAATAGCAACTGATTTATTAACTTTATATTGATTTGCATGAAAATTATAATTTATTATCGACATTTTTTTTATAAAATAGCAACGGATTTATTAACTTTATATTGATTTGCGTGTATATTATAATTTATTATCGACATTTTATATAAAATAGCAACGGATTTATTAACTTTATATTGATTTGCATGTATATTATAATTTACTATCGACATTTTTTTTAAATTTTTTTTTTAATTTTTAAAACTACCTACTTAAATATTAATTTTGGTGCAAATGCTATGTTACAGTTACCTTTGTACCTTTGGCGCTTATTTCTTATGCAGGGTATAACAGGTAACAATATTAGATTGGCGCTTATGTCATACAGCCGGGTAGATCACAGGTAAAGCACATGTAAGCGGTAAATCGCACGCTATACTGGCACTCACGAATGTATTATTAATTATTAATGGTTCTACCATGCCTAAAAGCTTATTATAGATGTTCATTCGAAATTAATTCTGGTAGTATTTTACGTCGTAAAGCTGGATTTCTTTTAAAAAATTTAAATGATAATACTTCTTGCGTTTGGCAGTTCATTCTTTTACCCATCGTTTTCTATAAGTAATAAGTTTACTTCGAATAGAAAACGCTAAAATAATTGATACGCAAGCTTTTCTATGACCAATTTTATTTATTAATAATTATAAAATAATATATTTTAAAATAAAAAAAAACACGTTTAGAAAAACCAAAGAAACTTTATAATACAATTTTTAATAATAATAATAAAGTTGATACTGTCGTCCATTGAAGCTCACACCTTCATCAGTCGAATGACAAACTGACTATTATTGACAATAATCTATACTGACCGTGTGAGGAGTACACTGTCAGTAATGTAAGTACTGTCAATATTTCTACTGTCAGTATTACTGATCGTGTGAGGCCCGCTTTAATATTCGTTCAATATTTATATGTTACTTGGGTCCCGGTGTTGAAATCTTTAATTTCGATTTTAAACCGTCAATTTCAATATTGAGGTGCCTTAATTCCTCACCAAGTTAATTTATTATGTGTTCATTTTTCGTAGTATTTCTTCATTTTTTTCTCTTATAGGATATTAGTTTAACGTTTTAGTTTTTCGTAGATGAACAATAACGATTTTAAAATGTCTAT